CGGGGGGGGGGGGGGGGGGGGGGGGGGGGGGCGGGGGTCAAGGACCGTCATGTAGAAAGACATAGCAACGGGCCGGCTCAAGGTACCTGAAACTCGGGCAGTTGCAAGGGGGCGCCATGTGCTTAGGGCGCCATCAGCAATCTTACAAAACAGTGAGGGGAAAAAATCATTGCATATGGGCGCCATGGAAGAAAAATAGGAATTTCAATAAAAAGGTTTGCTGATCTAAAGGTTAGAAAGAAAAAAATGTCATCGGTAGGCAAATTGTTCATACTGCCCTCTGTAGGAAAATTGTTCATACTGCCCTCTGTAGGCAAATTGTTCATACTGCCCTCTGTAGGCAAATTGTTCATACTGCCCTCTGTAGGCAAATTGTTCATACTGCCCTCTGTATGCAAATTGTTCATACTGCCCTCTGTAGGCAAATTGTTCATACTGCCCTCGGTAGGTTAATTTTTCATACTGCCCACGGTAGGCTAATTTTTCATACTGCCCTCTGTAGGCTAATTTTTCGTACTGCCCTCGGTAGGTTAATTTTTCATACTGCCCACGGTAGGCTAATTTTTCATACTTCCCACGGCAGGCTAATTTTTCATACTGCCCTCTGTAGGCTAATTTTTCGTACTGCTCTCGGTAGGCTAATTTTTCATACTGCCCACGGTAGGCTAATTTTTCGTACTGCCCACGGTAGGATAATTTTTCATACTGCCCACGGTAGGCTAATTTTTCATACTGCCCTCTGTAGGCTAATTTTTCGTACTGCCCTCTGTAGGCTAATTTTTCATACTGCCCTCTGTAGGCTAATTTTTCGTACTGCCCTCGGTAGGTTAATTTTTCATACTGCCCTCTGTAGGCTAATTTTTCGTACTGCTCTCGGTAGGCTAATTTTTCATACTGCCCACGGTAGGCTAATTTTTCGTACTGCCCACGGTAGGCTAATTTTTCATACTGCCCACGGTAGGCTAATTTTTCATACTGCCCTCTGTAGGCTAATTTTTCGTACTGCCCTCTGTAGGCTAATTTTTCATACTGCCCTCTGTAGGCTGATTTTTCATACTGCCCTCTGTAGGCTAATTTTTCGTACTGCCCACGGTAGGCTAATTTTTCATACTGCCCTCGGTAGGCTAATTTTTTATACTGCCCTCTGTAGGCTAATTTTTCATACTGCCCTCGGTAGGCTAATTTTTCATACTGCCCTCGGTAGGCTTATTTTTCATACTGCCCACGGTAGGCTAATTTTTCGTACTTCCCACAGTAGGCTAATTTTTCATACTGCCCACGGTAGGCTAATTTTTCGTACTGCCCACGGTAGGCTAATTTTTCATACTGCCCACGGTAGGATAGTTATTCATTCTGCCCTCGGTAGGCTAACTGTTTATACTGTCCAAATACAAGTTAAGAAAAATAATTTTATTGTGTATTCTTTGTTTTTAAATAATAACATAGGTAATAAACCAATGACCAAGCCCCAGTTTTTTGTTTTTTTTTTTGGCACAAATTTCTATATAAAACTGGATGGCGGGACTTCCCCTGGACACAGTGATCCTAGCAATGACTTTCAACACCTTCATCGTCTTGCCTAGAAAAAAATGCATCACTCTCCGTGTCAAATATTTTGAACCATAAATGCGACTAGGCGAGTATCATAATTTTGAAAAGAATGCCAGTTTAACGTTGGGTGGCCCCCCCCCCCCTCTTTTTTTTCTTTTCTTTTTAACATCAGGACAACTCTTAGCAACTTCCGTCCAAATATTTTTAAATGCCCGAATAGTAGTTTGGACAGCTGAATGAGAATATTATCTAAACTGAATCTTTTAAAATTAAGTTATTGAAGATTTTTAATAAGTAAGTTAGTTGTCATTAAAAATTTTTTTTTTAAAAATACATACAGACATTGACGTAAATTGACCACGACAAAGTCATCCACCTGTCAACTGATCAAAAAATTAACAGTAACACTGATGACGTCATTTTGTTTCCAATAAGTCGCGTTGTAGGGTTAATTTCCCCCCAGTCCAGTCCGCACCCGCCACACACACACACACACACACACAGCGGCGTCACCCACTCAGCCCTCAAGTTAGTACAGCTGTACACACCCACCCACCCCCAACACTTAATAAAGCGTGTGTTCAAACTTTGTGTTGTGTACTTATGTGTGCTTTTGATCCCCTTTTTAAGTGGGGATTGGGGAGGGGGGGTGTCGACAAACTCAAGGACCCCCCCCCCACCCTGGGCGACACACATGTAACTACGCCACTATCTGGGTGGTACTGCGTACTGGCATGGAGGTTTAATACGCCACTGGCTGGGTGGGACTGCGTACTGGCATGGAGGTTTAATACGCCACTGGGTGGGTGGGACTGCTGGGTGGGACTGTTGGGTGGGACTGCGTACTGGCATGGGTAGAGATTGAAAACATGTTTTGACTTCAGTTGAAGATCCTGAATAGGGCGCTCGTCAGAATGAATCCTGTTTGCTTTAGACTTTAGACACAGCAGCGATACCTCGCTCTCATAGGAGAAAGAAACATGCTAGTTAATGCCAACGATACCACTCTTTCATAGGAGAAAGAAACATGCTAGTTTATGCCAAAGATACCACCCTCTCATAGGAGAAAGAAACATGCTAGTTTACACTCTCGATGCCACCCTCTCATAAGAGAAAGAAACATGCTAGTTTACACCAACGATACCACCCTTTCATAGGAGAAAGAAAAATGCTTGTTTACGCCAACGATACCACCCTCTCATTTGAGAAACAAACATGCTTGTTTACGCCAACGATACCACCCTCTCATAGGAGAAAGAAACATTCTTGTTTACGCCAACGATACCACCCTCTTAAAGTAAATATTAATAAATCCGAAATTATGGGGGATAGCATAAACGCGAAAGAAAATAAAAATAATTCTCAGTCTTGCACCAATAAGTTTACAACGTAATTTAATTATGAAAGATCACATTCTAAGCGGCATATGATGATGACATTCCAAGCAGGGCTGTCACACCTTGGGAATTTTCCCAAGATCTTGTGAATTCACCACCCCATTCAGGACCAAAACTCACTTAAATTATAAAAAGTATTTCCACGGCTTGCCCATTTTGGGCCCTCGTTCATGTGGTGTAGGGTATATTGCACGGGTCATGTGAACGTCATGTCTTGCCACACTATTGGTTAACTCCCACCAACACCGTCTCTTAACCTCAAAAAGGTACACAATTTTTTTAGATTTAATTGGGGGGAGGGGGGGGGGAGAAAACTCCCCAGAAAAATTAAGATTTTAAATGACCAATTAATAAATATAGTACCCCTATATCATATATATATATATATAAAGGAAACAAAATTTAAGCTATTTAAAGCAATACAACCTTAAGATATGGCCAGAGTAGAAGCATGAGAAGTTTATATTAAAAAGTATTGGATGATCACTTTGTTGTTCTTTACATGAAGATACTTGCCAAAGCCAATTATTCCATTTCAAGGCATTTCCATGCATTTCCATGCCATGTCATGGTTATGGTAAAGATTAGAAAAGTGAAGTTTCTTTTTGCAGTTTGACATATTCTTCGCACTTGTTTTTAATTATATATATATATATATATAAATATATATATATATATATATATATATATATATATATATATATATATATACATATACCAAAAATAGTAACTTTTTATTGATTAAATAAATTTCACGTTAAAATAGTTATTTCGATTCAATGTTGTTGATGTATTGCAAAATAAAAGTCTCGGGAAGTCTTTGAAAAATACTAAAACAAAGAATAATTTATTTTTGTGGTTAAATTTTTCACTGGTTGTCTCTTTTCTACTCTTAGCGATACCTTTTGCGTCCATAACGACAAAATGGTGGACAGACAAACTATAAAAATCTAGCCCCATTTTCTTAATTCATATCAAATTAAATTAATTTTATCCACTATTGGATAATTATAATTTATAATAACCACATTTCTTTAGTTAAAGAAAGGGTAGGACTACCAAATAAAGTTATATTCTCTGTTTAACTCTTTGAATCGCATAGTAATAAGATGCCTTTTACTAAAGTTCCAGTGGTGCATAAATTTGGAATAATTTCAAGCACTCAAAGAATAGAGCTTCAAGAAAGATTATTAAGGCAAACTTTTCATACAAGCAGTAATAGCAAGAAGGCCACATTAACTCAAAGGTATTTTAAGAAATTATAAATCTGTTTTTAAAAATTAGAGTTAGATTGTGCTCCTATTAATATTAGCTTTTTATTAATATTAAAATGTTTTTTTTGTTCTCAATCAGACTTAGTAAGGTAGTACCATTTAAAAAAAAAATGAATGAATTGATCGTGATAGGCTTATAAGTAGGCCTAAATCTGATAAGAATGATAGAATTGTGCATTTATGGGCATGTTGTATTTTAACTTAAAAATATAACTTTGCCACAAATGCCTACTTCTACCATTTAAATAAAAGACAATGTCAACTTACTTACTAGTTGTAAAGATGACTGCGTTTTTTTTTTATCCTACTGAAATAAAATTTAGCAAAACTGTTAAATATAATAAATTATGAGTTATCTTTAATTTAATATTATAATTTGTTTTAATGTGTTTGTATTATTTAGAAACACGTTAGAAGTTTCAGAAGAGTTTGTTCATCTCTTCAACAATGCAGAAAATCATCAAAAAGACAAATATGAAGAAAAAGCCAGAAAATTATTAGAGAGATCTAAGGTAAAGATTTGTTTGCAGCACACTCGAGTAATTCAACATCTCAGATGTCTTAAAAATGTATATTATTTGTGGATTATCTTTTCTTTAATGCTGCCTGTAACTGTAAGTGTAAACTTTGTAATTCACTAGCTTAGCTAGCTTAACAGTAAAGACATTTGTGTACTAAGTAAATCATTTTCATTAACAGCGGAGATCTGGACTTAAAAAATGTGGACAAGGTTCACATGTTAATTTGCCACTGGCATGGACAGAATTGGTTCAGCTTGCTCAATGTAAAGGAAGATTACAAGAAGGTGGGCCATGCATTTATTAGCTTTTGTTGCACCAAAACATTTGCCATTAGCAAAGTTAGTAACAAATATTTTGTTTATACATTTTTTAGCACATTTAGCCTAATCCTAAAAAATAATGTTTTTTGAAATTTTTTCATTACATTTAATGATAATTTATATCTTGAAAAATCATTTTGAGATACAAGATGTCACTAAATTCAGGTACCCCACATGACAATGTGTATTATTCATCAGGTTTTTCTAGAACTTAGATTTGTCGTTTTAGGTAGGTTTTAGAACCTGGGTTTGAAGAGCCTTTTACAACAATATTGTTTTCAAATACTTACTAACAATGTAAATGTTTATTTTCTTTTTTTTAAGAGTGCCTTGATGCTCTTGTGGTTTCATTGGATGTATCACCATTGGAAAAATGTCATATTCCGGCATTGTTTTTCCTTGCTGAGACAATGTTGTACAAGATACGAACTGAATCAGTTTTGCAGCCATTTTTGAAAATCGGAGAAATAAAACTCCTGAAGGTTTGTGGCAAATATTAAATTTTAAATGCTTATCAATTTTGAGTCTGATATATTGCTCTAAATTTTAAAAAATGGAAAAACATATGTTAAAGCATAACGTTTTAATTTTTTAAAATAAAGAGCATTTACTTAAACTTAAATAGGTCTTAATAAAACTAGATGAGAAACAAAACTGTAATAATTTTAATTTAGCAAGAATGAGGATTAAGCACAAACTATCACATTATTATCAGCCTGGTGACCAACTAACTTGGCCAACCAGCTAATATATAAGCATCTGTGCAATGGGCAGATGGGTTGATAATGGCAATATTTATATACACAGCGTGCACCAAAATATACTGTACTGAAACTTCTGCATCCTGAATGTGTATGTGGCTTTCAAATGGTGCATAGCTTCAGTCACTACACATCACTAAAAGTGAAAATAAAGTTGTGTTGAGCAGTTTTTTGCTGGAGATGGGTCTCTGAATGGTGGAAAAAAATGCATACCTGATCATTAAATTTGCTCATACTGAACTGGTCATGAGGGGGGGGGGGACGATTTTGGCCCCATGTGATACATATTATATCAAAATCATTAAATGGTTTAAGGGCTCTAGGCATTTTGCTTACTCTGCCTATTGGATAAGATGGTCCTGAAGGTGCATTCTTGTAGGCATGGTTCAGATCAGCTATGCTTGACTGACCATGAGGAAAACAAGTTTTGCTAACAGGATGAGTCTTGCGAATTTGAAAATGTGTTAGAAAGTCATAAAATAAAGCTATTTGGAAAATACTATAGCATGTGCCAAATATTTTTTAAATTATGTAAGTCTGGAATAATGTTACATTCTCTTATTTGAAATAATGTGGTTTTTTTTAATTTACTTCCAGATGGGCCAGTTGGTATTTGAAAGATTGTTTTACCACCATATGGCTGGTCAACTCCAGGGCCATGTGGAGTCCAAGAATAGGCTCTGCACTTATATCGAGGGTGAAAATTTATTTTACTGAAAAATTTCATTGTCAATTTATATTTACAATAGAAAGTTATATGATTTGTTAACCTAGCCTTGTATACAGAACATAATCAGTGAATCTTTAAAGTATTCATCTGGGGAACTTCTTCTTCTTCTTTATTTTGAGGGCCCTCGATCAATGAATTGATCATTCTGGCTCCTATGTTTCAACTTAACTTGGGTTCATCTGAGCATTAAGACAGTGACTGGATTTGGACAATTTGAAAATGTGCACCTTCATCTTTATTAATCTCAAACAAAACATAGATATATTTGGGACACCTTTCTTTCTTTATTTGTTGTGTTTTTACAGCCAAGTTAGCTTATTTTTTCTCCTATGCCAAGATAATTTAGTTCTACTCCTATGCCAAGAAATCTTAGTTTTACTCCTATGCCAAGATAAATTAGTTTTACCCCCATTATAAGCCTGCTGTGTTCTGACTCTTTGTTGGAAGTTTTCTTCCTCAGGATTCACTTATCTCCCTCCCTTAATTGGCAGATTGGTCTATTCCACCTGATTCATTGCCCTAATCTGGGTGTGACTGCAGAAGAATTCAAACCTCCTACTATTTGGTTATGTTGCAGATGTTCTCTTATAATGCCTGACGGGCACTTAAATTAAAATACAGTATTTATCTAAATATTCCCACAACAAAAATAATACAATATCTTATTGAATTACTTGTTGAATAAAATTACCCACTTTTCTAATGTAAGCTTGAACCAACCTTTTAGGCATTTAAAATAAACATTTCCATAGTAACTTAAATTTTCGATTATTTAGATAATATCTAAATTGGTTCACAGTAACAGTTCATTTTACCACTTTTTTATCCAATGTTTACTCTTGTCTGTGATGTATTAAAAATTCATCCCCAAGCCATTTTTTATTATCTTTGCAGTTATTTTTAAGCTTCATTATATCGAGCATTATTTTTAATGCACTTACAGGTCTGCAAGACTACCAACAACTTTATAGTCCGTACCCAAATGCATTGCTGTCACTTCGTTTTGTGACTGAAGTAGGGAAGATAATCCTGGCAGACATAAAGCTTCAGTCAGTTGGGAATAACCGTGGTGACAATCTGCTTAATGCCCCTAAACACAACATGGAGGAACTAAGTTTAGTAAGTGGAGTACTCCTTCCATAAAGGAAAAAAAACAACTTTTTGGTAATGTTAACATTTTTTAAATTATACCTAAAACATTATTTACTGTAACATTAGCTATGCTGAGAGAAGCTGAAGGAATAATGTTGATAGAGAATGCACATTATTCAGCAAGACTTAATGTTGAAAATTTTCATTAGTGCAATTGATCTGTCATAGTTTTTACCATTTAATAAGTTAGCACATGCTTATGTGATCAGTGAGGTAATAATAATAATAATAATAAATATCACTGTCTAAATTATAGCAGGAATTTTATAGCACCGCATTAACTCAATTTTAGTTACATATGACAGAAAAAATTTGTCATCTTCAAAAAAAAAAAAGAGTACCGAAAAGATTTTCTTCAGACATGAAACCAACCTAAATGAAACTATATAATACAAAAATACCAGTTCAATAAAAGTATAAAAGTAAGAGTGGGGTTGAAGAAATATTATGTGTTTTAAAAAAAATAAAAAGAAGACTTTACACAGTTTTTCTCTAAATAAAGAAATGTGAGCAAGGTATAAGCTTTAAAAATTAAAAGTCAATGGGCATTTTGCCAGAAGTTTGTTCATTGGCAACAAAAAATATAAATCGTGAACAAAGAAAAAAATAATAAGAGAATTATTCAACCTTTAAATTATTTTTTTTAAAAGAGGAAAGTTAATGTTTGCTTGTCTGAAGGTGTCTACCGCTTGCAATAAAAATATTTCACATATATTCTTCTTGTTTTTAAGTTGTCTTTGACTCTGAAACTAAAAGTGACATCATTATAAAATTTAGAAAAAAACAACAACAAAAAATACCTTTCTAAAGATTCACTACTCAATTTGTTGATTCCTGTCTATGGAGGTGATTGAAGTGTGTCAATTTGACCATCACTTTCTGCTAGGTCACCAAAAACCTTTTTGAGTCCCAAAGCCATGATGAAGGTCATAACCTTGGTAGCGGTGCCATCAGCAGCTCTGTGCATGATCTGAGCCCAACACTCTGGCATGCCCTGGATGTGTGGCGGTGCACTCACAGCATCAGTGGAGGACTCAGGGATGCCCTGAGGGCGTTAGCTCATTGTGGTGCAGGACTGTCAAGCGAAACCTGGTGAGAGTTTTCTTGTCAAACCTTCAACTATATGATTAATAACATTTTAGCTTCATTAAGATTTTAAATATAGTGCCAAAAGTATTAAGTGCTCCATGACATCCTAAAGGTCAGTGGTCAGCAACATACTGCTCACTTTGCCTTCAGTCCACCTAATATTTACTTCTAATTAAGGATTTCATTAATGACTATATGCCTATTTATCTAAGCTACAAATCTTTATCTGGCCCCTATCAGCATATTAAATAACTCTCACAACATTATTCAAAAAAGGTGACAAAATTTTAGAGTTTTGAAATATTAATGCATTCAAATGAGATGATGGAAATGTAAAAATTGAGCTCAGATAATGATGTCAATTTTTATAACACATTAATCTCATATGCAACACAGATAGAAATATTAACATTTAAGGATCAAACGCTAACATTTTTAGCACATTCAACTCAGATACTAGCCATGTCCACATTTTCAACACAGATGATTGAGATATATCCAAATTAGATTATATAAAAGAATGCTACACATGTTTTAACTTAGGATTGATGGAATGGTTGCAATACAAATTCTGGGAGAAACAGCAAAGACCAACATGGGGGCATTGAAAGTCCTTTACCTACTCACAAAAGGAGTCAAAGATTCAGAGAGTCTGCTGACCACACCTACAAGTAGCAGAAGTGAGACTTCAGGTATACACTGTTTGATTAGAGCTTAAAGATTTCATATACTTAACACTGTACCTTGGTACCTATTGTAAATTTGAAAGGAGATGCACAACCCAGTTACTTATATCAGAGGTTTGATTTTTATGGTTTAAAATAAAAAAACACAAAGATTTCACTCTTATTACACAGGATGAAGATTAGCTGAACTAAAGGATGAAGATTAGCTGAACTAAATCTGCTGAAGCTTCAATTAATCCTAACCTTTTCTTATGATATGGGTAAAGGGAAATAATTTTACTATGAAAAAGTTACATTCATTAAATCATTTGGAATACATACAAATAATGAGACAGTGTGCTCAGTTGTCTCCTCTTCTCCATGGACATTCTACTGGTGACAGGTCTATCAAACTATTTTCTTTTAAGAAAAACAGAAATAATATGCTTATAGAGTGGATGGCCATCTTTATGCTCAGTTTTATGTGTCACAAATCACACTGCCACACCATTTATGGATATTGGCATTAATATCTCAATAATTAATAATAATAATAAAGCTTATTTAAACATCACGCTTCATCCCCAAAGGCTCCATATTAAAAAGAAATGAAAAATCTATATTTTACCACATTGAAATACAAAATGCAACATTACAAAAACTACATACTAGAATACCCATTCTAAGTCTTTCATCCCTTGCAACCATAAACAACACAGGCCACTTTACATGTAGGAGATAATAGTTAGCTGGAAAAGATGGTAGACAAAATATTAATTACCTCAAGAAAATTGGTTTAATTCTTTCAAGCTGCTAACTATAACTTTTAGACTGAAGTCTTGGATATTATATGAGAGAATGTGTAACACAGAGCGCTTTCATTTCTAAACAAAGGGCTACTTTGAGATCTTTGAATGCATTAGTTTTTTATTTCTGATCCTTTGTTGTTTCTTGTTGTGTCCTGTGTGCTGAAGAGGGCATCTAGTCAAACCATCCTTATAATTGTCCTGTCTTTTCTTTTCAAGCCTACACATATCTTGTCCCATTATTTATTTATAATCTTGCCAGTTGCTTTTTTTTTTTTTTTTTTTTTAATCCTGTAACACTTTTCAACTCTAACTAGGATAAGAAATAAGCAAATTATGCAAGTCAGTATGGTCAAAAACATGTCAGTATTGTCAAATGCATGTCAGTATTGTCAAATGCATGTCTGAAGGCTTTTAAACATTTTTTAATGAATGCAAAATAATTTTATTCATTAGCTGATGCCAGTTCCTCTGGTGAAGAGCTTGATACACAAGAAGAGAGTAGCCAAAAATCTAATTCCCCACTCAGTGAATCAGGGACAAGGTCATCTCTCAGTGATATATTTGAAAGAAGTGAAGAGGGGGAGGTGATAAGCTTAGATTCCGGTGGTGTGAGATACACTGAACTTTCTCATAAGGTAACAAACATTTCAAATGAATGTTGAAACACTTAAGGCAAACAGCCTTGGTTAACTAACATCTAAAAATTTCTTTGGGTCAGGACTGAACAGTGTTGAAAATTTTCAATTACGATATTATTTAGTTTGGAATTTTGTTTCTAGAGGTTGATAGTGGATTGTTTTTTGGTTGGTAATGATTGTCAGAATCACACATAAACTTAGAATGAAAATGATATCACAGTTAATTATTGTGACTAACTTATTAGATTAAAAAAAAAAAATTTTATTAATGAATTTCAATTTTAATTTGAGCAGTGTACCCAACAATATCTTATTTGTAAAAAAACAAGAACACACCTATCTGAAACTTTGAGACTCCGTTATCAGTAATTTGAATCTGTTATCAGTAAACTATATTTTATGTGCTCCAGACCAGATCAGATAAAAGTGGTGTGAAGCAAACTGATGACACAACAAATCAAGAGGATGCTAAAGAAGCAACCTCCATAAAAGCATCACTGGATTCGGGATCATCAAAAGGTGATGAATGTGACAGAGCTGAATTAAACTGGCCTATTTTTGGTAGCAGACTTTTCCCTAAATTTCAAACACAACAAAATGATTTATTGTATTTTTTTTTTTAAATGTTTAAAATGTAATGGATCTGAAAAGAAATGTTAAGTGAATTTACAACATATTCAATTAGCAAGTTTGATTTTTCTGTGCATTTTTACAGCTGTTCTTGGTTTAAAATAACTAAAATTATGGCGAGAATTAGACCATTGTGTTCATGAAAGTTTGTCACTTAAATGTAAGGAGCAACTAGAAATTACTGACCTAAGTGCCAATGAGAAACTTAGTGTATAATCTTAAAACTTTTTGGTAGAAAGATGCATGGTAGTTTATTGAGATAGTAATTGTTTTCATAATGTTTGGTTGGATGGATGAGTGGTGTTGCTTGAATTTAGTAAAACATGGGTTACCCAAGGAGATGTTATGGTTATTCAGTAACCCTAGACAGCAAAGTTTTCAACAACCTCCTACAATAAATATATACATAAAACGTGTGCTTTTATTTTATTGTTTTATCGAATTCTTATAACAGTATTAACAATTTACCAGACAAAGACACTACTAAGGGGGAGGCAGAAAACAGAACACAAGATGAAGCATACTTAAATAATGGAGAGGTATTTGAAGTGTCTGCATCAGAAACAGATTTGTAATTAGTTCAAGATATTTAAACATATTAGTGATTTTTTTTAGCTCCGTATTTCTTTACTAACACAAAAGTTCTATAGAAAATTGAAATGAATTTTTAGATGTTTAGTTATTCATAGCAAGTTAAAATTTGTTGACATTTAAACTTCATGAATTAAATTAGGAATTAAAAAAGTCTAAATAAAAACTGGAGTAACATTATATATTATTATGGCTGATGACAAAAGCTGTCTGTTTTATGCCATCAGCTGATAGACACCCCAGGCATTTTGGGATGGCACTGGGAAGTGGCTCTGACTTACGCTGAAGTTCTGGCAAGCATTGTGATCTATGGAAGCTCAGCTGAGATTCAGAAACATGCACTCATGGGAGATAATGACAGTGTTGAAGAGTTGCTGTATCACTGTCGGACACAGACAGGATTTAACACAAGCCCTGTTCGCAGTGCTGGGCTGCTGGATTTGTTATTCTTCAATCTGAAAGAGGACATTAATGATGAAGGTTTGTGCCCTGCTGTGGGATTATTTTTTTTTTCATCATTTTTTTTAGCAATTGTTTTTAAGTAATAACATGACCAACTTTGAAGTTGGCTTTATTCTTAACATTTATGTGCAAAAATCTGGTAAGAAATATGGATGTGGCAATAAAGTAACTGGCATGAGACAACCGGGATCAAAAACATGAACTAGGAACAATCTGAAGCAATTAAACAATTTGATATTTTATCAAATATCTAAAAATTAACTAATATAATAGTTTATAAGCAGTATAATGTAAAAGGCATGAGTATGACTGATCCTCAGTAAAAGTAGTCAGCCATATTTCACATATACAGTAAAAGGAGAGTTAAGTGTACCTGTCGCTAACCACCAAGTCATTTTTTTGTATGTATTAGTTTATGTAAAGATAAGATGTTTTTAAATAAATTACTGTAACATTAATTTATGTCAGAGAGGCACCTTTGTTATTTTTGTGTGAATTTTTCGGTTATGGCAACGGGCCTAACGGGCCTTACATAACAATTTATCATTGCCATACACTTGACTTAGGAAATGACTGGAGTTGGAAAGTTCGATTTGGAGCTGTCCAGGCCCTGGTGAATATGTGTCGCAGCTTAGAAGGGGACATACTGAGGGAAGGCCTGCGCACAACAGCCTGGCACTTCTTACTTAAAGCCAATGCCATGGAGAAAGATTTGAGAGTGATAGAAGCCTTGAAAGTGGGACAGGTATTTGAGATTTTACAAAACAATGAAAATGTGTCAGGCATTTAGAGCGTTTAAATATTTCCAAGCTAATTCAAACTTATACAATCTAACTTAAACTTATGTAAACCTACACAATCTAATTTAAACTTATTAGGTCTATACAATCTAATTTAAACCACTCCGAATGTCTAAAATGTGATTGAAACCTCTTCAAACTATTCCAAAACTACCATGTGAACAAAAACTTCACCAATCTAACCCAAAACTTTCCAACCCTCTTGAGCTGTAAAAGTAAAACCCCTTTTTAACCAATTCTGATTACATTTTACAGTTATATTTTCATGATTTATTTAAAAAATTGCAACAAGCTGATATTAGTAATGCTAGCCTACAACAAATTTTTTGCAGAGATTTGATTTTTTAATACCATGCCAAGTTGGCTATTGTCTACCAACTCGGGTTGTTGATTTTTTTTGTAGTCATAGTTTAACAACGCTCAAGATGACTGGCAATTTTATTCCACTTATACCTGGGGTCAACCTTTTACAAAACCGTTACAGTTTAACTTAAAAAATATTTTTAAACAATTTGATATTGCATGACCTCAGCAAAATGTTAGTTGCCTTCTATATTATTATTTATTTTGGTAGCATTTAGCTTAAACTTGATGTTCTGAGAGAAATATTCAACCTATTTGATAACTTAACTTATCTTCACTACCCCCACAAAATAAACAAAAAAAGAAAAATATTTAAATACCGGTGATTAATAATTTTGTTAATGAATAAATACATTTTTTTTAAAAGCTGAAATTTAATGATAACTTTCAAAGATCAAAATTCAAACTAGCTGTAAAGATCTTAAATGATTTCCTTTCATCTACGTCGTTACTCAACAGTCTTTAAGATCAGCAGTCTCCACAATGGGAATATAAAACAAAATCAGCCACCATTTATTACATTTCAAACTTAGAACATTTATTTCTTGAGTGAGAGGTGTGTGGGTGTTGTTAGTTGTTTTATAGAAGTAAAATGGCTGCACCACTGAGGACCTTTGCAAAGTAAATAAAATTGTTCCCCCTTGTATATATTATCGCCTGCAGGTACATGCAGACACAAGTTCATTCCTCGACGCTGGCGTCAGGGAGCATCCTCCCTCCATAGGGGGCCGCATTGCATCTGGCTTGTCTGTCATCTACTTGCCACCCATTCCTCCCCCCACTACAGCATCTCCCATTAAGAAAACTACTTACCATCCTCAAGTGGCTCAACAACTGCCATTTAAGAACAGTTTAGAGGAGACCAGGCCCATGAGAACTTCTTTGAAGTAAGTACAAGTCTTTTCTTTTCTGGCAATATGCCATGCATGCTCTTGCCATATTTTGTTCAGATTTACAAATAAAATCTCCACACCTTTTAATCGGGGCTGAAATTTTAAACCAGATTTTGTCGAAATAAACTTATTTCTAATACCACAGAGATGGAGTTTGTTGTGACTTTCTTTCTAGAACCAAATCGGCATAAACCTTAATGCTACTATTTAACTGAGTATTTATTATTTAAAAAATTACAAATGGAGAAATAATTTAAATATGAAAATCATTGTGTGTAATGATATGGAACATTTGATTATTTTTTTAATTGATTACCATTATTGAATTCTGTAAAATGCTGTAAATCCTAACCTTTGATAATAAATTTTTTAAAATGTCTTTTCCTCAGACAAGAAATTGATCTGGCCACAGCTTTATATGAAAAAGCTCCTGATTACAACACCAGGAAAAGTTTTGATCTACGGAGAATCGTAGAGGATCAGGTACGGTAAAAGCAAAGAAAATAGACATGGAAAAGGAGAATAACTAGTTTTGGCTTTTATCTTGGTTGTTGAATGCTTATTTTATTCTTATGAATGTTGTTTTATTTTAAATAACTCTGTATTGTATACCTGACTTGTTCTAAGTGTAATATGGGGAGGAGTTAGTTTCACTTCATTACACTTCTTCTAACTTACATGTTCATTTCTCAGATTTGACATGAAGTGGAAAATATTATTAAAATATGTATTATTAGTTAATAATATAATATAAATTCATATAATATAAATTCAATAAAAAAAAGTGTCCTAAATTTTCAGTGGAGAAAAGAACTCCAGTCAAATCTAAAACTGGGTGAGGAGGATGAAATGAAAGAAGTTATGGAAAAACAGAAGAATGAAGAGGAGCGTCAGAGGCAAGTTGCAGAAGTGAAACTGAACAAACTGAGTAAAAAAAGGAGTTCTTGAAAGTTTTATAAACCAAGAGCTGAAAATGGGTATTGGAAATGCCCATGCACTAATTCTTGTATGAAATATAGTTCATGTTACAATGTTGTATACTACTATGCATGTCCTGGTTACAATGTTTTTCAAATCATCTGACAGTGAACAGCAAAAAAAAAAACAGCCTTCATGGTCATTTTTTAAATGGAGGTGTTATTTTTTTATTTAAAGTCCTAGATCATTTACTATTTACAGCTTTAACCTGTTGTTTTCAAATACAATTTAATTTTTCTTTAAGACATAATTTTGTGTGTGGCTAAATCTAAAACAATTTTAAAAGGTCTTTATGTAGTCAAGCCATTGCAAGATGGACACACCCAGTGATGGCAAGCTCAACCCACTCTGTGAAATGCAAGTTGGAAATAAAGAAAGAAGTTTGATTGTTCTAGAATGAAGGCAGTTACCAACACATTTCAAAAATAACAAAATAAATCAAATTCTATCAGGAAAATGTATCCATGATAAAATGTGAGACTGTTTCAATGAGAACATGAAAGATGATCTCATTTGATATTAATTTAGTCATTGAACAGATACAGATGATGGAAATCAAAGATACAAATCAAAGATAAACCGAGACCACCAAAATAAAGATATTAAAACAACTTTAGGGGATGTTTTATTGTTTTATTTTTGATGAATATAAAATTCACCCTTAAAACATTCTCATATAAAATAATCAACATACAAAAAAACTATCCTCTATGACACACCCGGAGAGCATGATTTCAGTACAGTACCAGGATGCCACTTGTAATGCCCCGTGTGCATTTGTTTCTCATGTGTTTGTTATAGTTATATGGCTTTTTGTTAAGCTTAACAAAATTAGGAAATAAAACATTTTACACAAAAATTATTCGCGTGGTCAACAAGTCATTAAATTGTTTCATGGTTCACAAAATAATATAATTGTGTTTTGCTCAAATGTAAAAAGTTTTTTTTTTAAAGACTCCAAATTGTAGAGCGGCTTTCCAATATACCTTTATGAATGTTGAAATGGTGATTGTTAATGTTGAAATGATATTTCTGAATGTTGATATGGTAACTATGAATGTTGAAATGGTATTTATGAATTTTAACATTAATGACATGATATTTGTTCAAATGGTATCTTGTGAATGTTCAAATGGTATTTATGAATGTTCAAATGGTATTTATGAAAGTTGAGATTAATTGCATGAAATCTACGAATGTTGAAATATTTTTAGAAAAATGTACTTAAACAAAAATTGCACTCCGCTAGACAAAAGCAAAACTAATACAAAGAAGTTTAAAGAAACAATAATTTCAGGGCACAGCTTGGGCAAAACAATAAACAATTTTGCTCTTTCTTGTCGTGCTGGTATTTAAAATTCTATTTTAGGCAAGTTACAATTTATAAGTGCTGCAGAGTACAGCCTTCAACACATTTGCTTTACTTTATTTTGGGTAGTTGGTTATTGTAAAAGAATCCACAAGGGACATTACTCAATCTTAATTTAAAAATTCAATATCCTGTGTTGAAAAGTCAAACTCTTTCCATGTAAGACACAAATCACACAAGGCTTTGAAACTCTTCAACAGCGCTGGTACAAAATTGGCATTAACTACCAATACAATTATTTGACAATCCCTTTTCTGTCAATCCACTGCAGAACAATGGAAATTGAGTTTTTTTTGCAATCGCTAACTAACCACTATTGTTTAGATTTCATCTTCAACATGAAAGACTGAGATTTGGGATACAGATACAAATTTGCAGTTCAACCCTTTTAATAATTAGTTAATTGTTTTCACCTTAACAAAGTGATGACATCGTTTAGGACCCTTTTTATTAACATATTGAGTAAAGAAAGGATTATGTTGTTGCAATTTACACAAGTGAGAACGACTTATCCAAAATGACCTCCAAAAGATAATATAATTAAACAAGGTGGCCTTATAACAGTTGATAACAGGCCTGCACAACTCAAATTGTAAGGCGGGCCGTAATACTTTATGAAAACTTGTGCTGGCCAAAATATAATAGGACAGGGAGGGAAAGCTATTAAGAGAATAATAATAATAATAATAAAGAATATTTCGTTACTTCGCGGCAGAAAAGTGGGTGCTGGCGTGCCGCATGCGGCCCATATGTTGTGCAGGCCTTCCTTATAGGAAATAGGTAGGACTTTGAAGTACTTTATCTTGTCAGGCATCAAAAACTAAACAATATAACTTTAGTGCAGTGAATAAAAAATATCATTCAAGGGTCCCTTTAGATGAGACATGGGCATTTTCATAACACACACAGGAGCAAAATTGCTTTTCTTAAAAAGGAAAATGTGATTGTTGAGGTTGAGTTTTACTTGTAAAACTTGGAATTGATTGGACATCACTCAGTCACTCATCAAATGTATTTTAATTTTAAACAGAGATGCTTCAAGTTTTTGTATGACATCAAAATATTTCCGGCATTTTTTCTGTCTGTGACTGACATTGGTAAAATGTAATTATATTTTGAAATTAAACCATATCTATAAATACATTTGACATGCAAGCTTCCCTGTTACTGTACATAAATATTTCATGTGTTTCTGTTTTATTCCTGATTATTTTTGACCTCATATTTTGTAGAATGCCAAGTTTCACAGTGAACACAGATGAAGGCAAAGTCCAAATTTTTATCAATTTAAACACCCCCTCCCCTTTTTTTTTTCAAACCCACATATGTTGAAGTAAAAAGAATTGACTTTTAAAAAGGTAAAATTATAAGGAGGACTCCGTACAAATAGCTCAAGGTTAAAATTATTTTGAATCATCTGTGTTTTGACTGGTCTCTGTTGGTCTGTCTTCTTCCTTCTTCTCACTGTGTTCTCTGCTTGTGCTTCTATTCCTTCCATGCGATCCACTCTCTTGGTCCTTCCCCTTACTTCTGCTTCTCCTGCTCCTGTCTTTGGTCCTATCACCATGTTTAGCTCTGGTTTTAGATCTGTCCTTACTTCTGCTGTCACTTCGACTTCTGTCCCTACTTCTGCCTCTGGTCCTTTCTTCACTTCTTCCTCGACTTCTGCCCCTGCTCTTGTCTTTACTTCTACTTCTGCTTTTACTCCTGCTCCTGTCTTCATCCCTACTCCTATCCCTGCTCCTGTCCTTACTTCTGCTCCTATCCCTGCTCCTATCTTCATCCCTACTCCTGTCTTTATCTTTGCTCCTATCTTCATCCCTACTCCTATCCCTGCTCCTCTCCTTACTTCTGCTCCTATCCCTGCTCCTGTGCCTGCTCCTCTCCCTACTGCTACTTCTGTGCCGGCTACTTCTACTACCACTCCGACTGTTACTTCTGCTGCGGCTACTCTTATCACCACTCCTGCTCCTATGTCTGCTCCTGCTCCGTCTGCTTCTGCTCTTATCCTGACTCCTATGTCCATGCCTATCTCTTCTATGCTTCCTGTTTCTTCTAGCGTCAATGTCGCCCTCATGACCATCCCCGTGGAAAATCGGCAGCACTGGAGGTGCCACCTGCAGTGGTTGTGCGTACCTCCCCGACATGTCTCTCATTTGGTTCCCCATGCCTAGAAACTGGTTGTATTTTCGGAGGTAGCTCTTGTTGAAAACATGGAGTCCACCACGGAAGCCAGGTGGAGGAGGGGGAGGCATTCGCATACCTCTCATGCCCCTGGGGCCACCCCGCATAGGCATCGGGGGCATGCCGCGAGGACCCCGGCCCCTCATGGGGAAAGGTGGACGGAAATGCATGGGAAAAGGTGGAGGGAACATCATCGGATGAGGCGGTGGGCCTGGTGGTAGAGGCATCATGCCGCCCCCTGGACCCATTGGAGGCATTGGCCCCCCACGACGGGAGCGAGATGACTCATGATCTACCTCTCTACTATCAGATCGACTTCTACCCCTCCTTTCTCTCTCTCTACTTCTGTCTATACTCCTGTCTCTGCTCCTGTCTCTACTCCTGTCTATGCTTTCGCTTCTGTCTCTGCTAAGTTTCCTCCCTGCTTTTCTCTCCTGTTTGGTCCTGTTATCTCCAATTTGGCCATCTCGTACAAAGCCTGGCTGGCGTACGACACCTGGCTGGCGTACGACACCTGGCTGACGTGCTACACATGGCTGACGTGCTACACCATGCTGGCGTCCTGCACCTGGCTGGCGGCTCATGGGCCTCCTATTTCCCTGACCCCTCCCTCTGAAATGTTCAGAGGGTGGACTGTGGAGACGGTCTCCTGGTTCTTGCCAAGCTCTCATGCGGTTAGCATTGAGAACCCGCTCCATGACACTTGTTGCTCCAACCCTTAAAAAAATATATTGACATATTTTTTAGAATAATAGTCTTAAGACAGATACACCAAAAACATGTATAAATCAAACATTACCCCAAATAGCCATAGATCAAATATTACCCCAAATAGCCATAGATCAAATATTACCCCGAATAGTCATAGATCAAACATTACCCCCAATTAGCCATAGATCAAACATCTCCCTGAAACATCACAAATCAAACATTGTATCAAATAGCCATACATGAAACATCACCTCAAATAGCCACAGATCACACTTCACCCCAAATAATCATAAATCAAACATTACCCCAAATAGCTGTAGGTCAAACACTACCTTTAATAGTCATGGATAAAACATCGCCCCACATATAGATCAAACATTACCCAAAAGCCTATAATGCACACCAAATATTAAAATTTTAGAAATTTATTCCTGAAAATTTGCCTTGTCAAAGTCTATGGATTTTTAGATATTTACAAGCAACAACTGCAATTGTTAAAGGCTTACCTTTTTGTGGCTGTTTTTGAATCTGCCTTTTCAGATTCCTCCACTTTCTCATCATCGTCGTCGTCGTCATCATCATCATCCTCTGATGAAGATACCTCAGACGAGGACGGAGATTCCGATGGTTTAGAATTTGTCTTTCTGGCCTCATGGGGTTCCGTCTTTTTCTTCACGGCCGGCTTTGATGTGGTTCTCATGATGATTCGTTTACTGGTCGATGGCACGGCGGAGAGCTTCTGTTTCACTTTATCTTCCTGGTATTCGCTCTCATCGCTGTCTGTGTCTTCCTCATCTCCATCGCCCCCTGGCTTCTTTCTTTTCTTCATGGCACTGTTGACTGCCTTCTTCATGATCACTGCACTTTTCAGTTTCCTTGTTCCTGAAAGCTTTTTCCTGTGAGGAGAAAATCAAGGAGAAACAAGGTGTTTGGTGACAGCGACATTGTGAATAGAACACTCCTTCCATTTGTCTATCAGGCGTGATGTTGACAGTGAATTAATTTAGCAAGCCAATGGTAAAGTTCTGTCACTGACAACTCTTTATAATGACAAAATTTCTGACTCCAGTCACACAATGAACTATTAATTAAATTTTTACTTCATGCAAGTGGGATACATATCTTGGGACTTTTCTCAATTTAAATTCAACCAAGCTGCATCTCTTGGCAAACACGTGCACAATCCATCTATTTATTATAGGATAAAATTCTTGTTCATTTAGTCAGAATCTTGTCTTCTTTGGATGGAAACAAAGCAGTGAAACTCCAGCCACATACAACATTCTTATTCATATTCTTATTATTTCCAATTAAAGCAAATAGGAACACAGCTCTGCAATGTACACAACTTAAACCCATATCATTGATACAAGGACCTAGTAGAAAAGGCATTTACCTGAGTTCTTCTCTTTGTTTTTCTTGCAGCTGTTCCTCTTTAGCCTTGAAATTTTTTAGAATCTTTTCTCGCAGCTCTAGTTCCTGTAGAGGTACAGATGTTAACTTCCATGACCTTGACATGCTGACCAAATCATTTTTTAATGTTAGGTTGTTGTTTTTTGTCTAAATTTAAGAATAAAATTCTTCTGCAGAATCCATTCATTACTGTGATTTCAAGTCAATGCCAAACGGTGAGATAGTTATTCATCTGAGATTTAGTTACTGATGCCAACACAGCACCTCAGCCAACAAATACAAATACTAATGTCGAAATAGTTTATGGGACAGACCAAAACTGGTTTCACTTCCCTTAATATTTCGTTATAATGTACATGCGTGGGAAAATACCTTATTTTAAGTATAGAAACTTCAGTACCTTGCAGCAACAACGTGATAGAACTAGAATTGTTGGGAGCTTACCTGCAGCTGCAGTTTCTGCCTTTTCATTTTCTTCTCCTCCGCTTTTTTCATCTCGTCCTCAGCACGACGTTTCTTCTCCTCTTCCACTTGTTGCTTTCTCTCCTCCTCCAGCTCTTTTTCCTTCTGCTCCAGGTATTTCTTCACTCGAATCACCTGTTGAAATAATCAATGCTCAAGCATGAGTAAAGCAGACTTCATGAAAAGCAAAGCAAGCTCTTGGATCATGTTAATTTTTTTTCAAGCAATATCTTGGAAAAACTATGTTAGCTCTGATGGACATTGAATGTCTGATCACTAATACAATGGTGAGATTTGCCTTATGATTTGATATACTTTATTATTGATAAAGGTTACTTGATTGTAAGGCTAATGATGACAAACAACTTCAAGCTATGCTGTGCCCCATCGTAAGTCACAACAGTAACAGTAACTTGACTGGAACTTCTTCACTAAGATTAATACAGTGCTATTGTTTTGTAAGAAAACAACAACTTAAGTAAGTTTCCAAACAAGTTGTCTGGCCTTCAATTTCCCAACAACTACATTTAAGCCTTTCCTATATTGTTGTGCAAGAGCGAGCTAACTTCTTACAAACATAAAATTATTGTAAGAGTCTAGACTTATTGCAACTAAAGTACTATCTAACCTTTATCCGCTCAAACAGTTCAGACAGTAGTCTCAGCGACTCTAGCTTCCTCTGGGCTATTAAGAAGCGTCTTTCTTCTAAAGCAATTTTATACTGCATTCTCTCTTCCTCCTCTCGCTGCTTTTTCTCTATTTTCTTCCTGCGTCTTTTCTCCTCCCGCTCTTTCCTTCTATCTTCTTTCCTCTGAATTTTTTCTTGTCTTTTTCTTTCCTTCTCTCGTTCCTCCTCCTCCTTTTTGCGCCTGTTTAGATGAACAGAAAAGTAAACTTTGAGAATTTATTTGTAAATTATAAATTTTGCGCTTCATATAACTATTAAGAAAGGTCAGAATGTTATCAAATTTTAACTTTTCTAGCCACAAATCTAAATTATTCTCAAGTACCTTTCTTCTTCTCTTTTTCTATCCTCCTCCTCTCTCTCTCTTCTTGCTCTCTCAAGTCTTTCTCTTTCTAAGGCCTCAAGTTTCTCTCTCTCTATCCTTCTACGTCTGATATTTTTCTCAGATAAGTGCTTGGTTTTATCAAAGTCAACCTGTGGGATGGGTATGTACGAACAAAACACAAGAAAACAGTGTTAATATAGTTTACAGTCTCCTTTTTTAACAATAGGCTACGTCCAGAAAATGTAAGAGCAAAAAAAATCTTGAAGGAAACATCCTTTTCATTTTCTTTTCTTTAACAGATTAAATTGTAAATACTTCAAACCTCACAGAACCTCACTTTTTTTTACACTTGGATGCACCAAAACAGCCAATGTTAATTTCTGCGTTAGTCTAAAAATTTCATAATACTATATATGAAAACAAATTTACATGTAGTACGGCTGGCAAGTTAGTTCAAGAAACATTACAAAAAAATAATAAAGCTAGTTACTGCCTCAATGAGACATGAATGAAATATGTAATGTCCAGGATACATTAAGTATAGAACTATGACCACTCTCAAAATGTTGTAAGCAAAACTATGTCTTGGTATCCCATGAACTAACTTGGTTCTAGTAAATAGATGAGGTTCAAAGATAAATACAGTAGAGGGAAACCAGACTTTCTCCTCTTCATAGCTTACCTTGATGACAGCAGTGAGAGCCTTCTCTTCACCTTTGTATAAGAGTTTCATCCCCCTCAGTGAATCCATCGCCTTGACAAAACTTATATAATCCATGTACTGAATGTAGCATTCAAAAGTCAGATCTTGACCATAGGAAAATGTCTGAATGGAACTCTTCTTTAAATTAGCACAGATCTGGAAAATAGAATTTAAAAGCATCAGTATTGATTATAATTTTCATTTTATTTTCTAAATTCCCAGACAGATGTTTGTAACTTGGGATCAACACCTAGATGGGGTGAGGGCAACTAAAACATACAAACAACCCACTTATCCTTAAACCTACTATAGAGTGCTTACAATCATTGAACTAACGAAAAAGAGTCTATGGATTTATCAAGCTACTAATAGGGGATCCTTGGTACATTGAAAATACCCTGGTCGAAAGTTATCTTTTGTTGTGTGATTGCAAGAAAGACCCATATTTAAACTTACCTCTTTACGATAGGGATCCAGCATTGGAATGTCTATACACCGTATTTCTCCAAATGTCTGAAACACTTTACGAACTGTTGCCTCGCTGGGCTTAAGTTCTTTACTGTTGGGCTCCTTATCTGACTGTCTTGCTGCAAACCAGATAGTTGGTAAGTCTTTCAGGTGCACCGTGTCAGGACGCTCTCCTGGTCTCATCTCATTCATGTTGTTGGCATCTCTAAAATAAGAGTCCCAATCATGACGAGATGGAAAACTGATCTTGGCCTCGGCAGCTCTGACCTGAACCAGATAAATTGGTATGAATTCAACTTGCAACAGTTTCAACTATAGCTCTATGTCAACATTTTTGTTTAAACAGCACCTAGAGCTTAAATTTTAGGTCTTTACCAACATGTGCCCTGCAGCAGGTGTGGAGCAAAACATTAAAAGTTTTCAATTAAATGTGATAAGACAGGACATCTAGCTGACTTGGTGCAAATCAGTAACTTATTTATAACTGAATAAACACCTACAAATGGTTAATAGATGATCTTTAATGTGTTTTATTTATTTTTAGCTAACACTTCAATTTTTTGTTTAAAATGTGCTCTTTTCTGTTATATTACTGTTATAATGCAGACATAGGATGTCTTTGGAAAGACAGGATTCTGCAAGGACACCGAAAAATAAACATTTTGCACTGTTCTAGATCATCATTTATTTTAAGAGCGGGAAACTATGGCTCGCTAGCCAATTTTGGCTCAATCTCTGTTTTGCATGGCTTGCAGTCCTTTTAAAAAAAATTAATAATCATAATAATGATAAAATTAGAGAGAAAAAATTAAAGTGTAATTTAAACTTTCGATTGCAGATGTCCATTTTCTTTATAAAAATAAACACTTACTTTAAGAATTTCTGTGAAGCCACTGAGTTTTATTGTTTTTCCATCCAGCTTCAGAATAATATTGTGAATTCTACTCTTGTTTTCAATCTCTCCTTCCAAACGAATGAATTCCAAGGTGCTTTTGAAGATTTTCAAAGTTAGAAATACTTCTGGCCTCACCATGTGTTTCAGCTGAGCAGAAGAAAAAAAAATTCTGTTTAATGTACAAACTTGAATCTTTGTAATATCCAAGCAAAGCATTAAAAAGTTGACGTTGGCAATAATTTTAAGCATAAAGAATATTTATAGAGTTTTATACTTGTTTGTATCCTCCAATGACGAGAAGAAAAAAAAACCAAGCAATACCAATTAATGGCTAGAGAATATGGTGAATAAATATTTAGACTGTAGCAGTAACCCACTCTGAATGGCGAGAGTATAGTTTAAAACAAACAAATAATATACCAAAGAAAATCTGCACTAATAACTATTATAAGTGTTAGAAAACAGGGCCGAACCTTTTCCATAACTTCCCAGTTCGAGATGGTTTTTCCTGCAGTTTTCAGCTGAGGCAGTTGTACACAGATGTTCACTTTAGCTACTGGTTTCAGATACAAACCCTGTGGTTCAAATAGTTCTACTGCCTCAGTGGTGTCTGTACACACTGTGGTATTGGCCATGATGTGTTTAATCGTCAGTGGCTTTTCAGATAAAAGCAACCAAAAAAAAACTAATGAGTCCAATAAAGAAAGAAACCCGGCTAAATATAAAAAGTCTTGCTGTATCTCTTGTATGTCATTTATAGCACTTAAACCTCAACATAACACCTGCGGACCCATGAGAATATAAGAAATATTGCAGGGACAGTTGAAATAAGGATAAATATTTGCAGACCATTAAGGTAGGAAAATGGTTATTTTCAACTAGTGTTAATTTTTTTTAAAGCCAGCAAACCATCTGTAAACAAATGGTCATGTAATGTATTAATTTGATCATTTGAGCCTACTAAACTTAATACAAATAATGTCTCAAGGACCAGCAGAATTTTTCTGAAGACCATTTTTCAGTGGATGAAAACCATTGATCTATAAAATGAAAAGATGTGTATTATTGTTACTCAAGCAAATTTATTAAAATTTTATATCAATTTTGCATGAAACGATTTCACCAATTTAATTTTTTTTTACATTTTATTGAAATTATTGTAAACTTGCTAACAGATATAGATATATGCCTGGACTAATAGATTATAATTATAATTTATTAATAAAAAATAATATATTATGGGGGACCATTTGTTGTCAGGTGAAAAGCATCCCCAAGCTAAACAGTAATACAGCCCCAATCTTAGCCAAATGTAGTGTATTGACTGATAACTGATGATGATATGCAGTGCCAAAGGATGAGGAATGTTTTGTTGCAATAGCTCAAGAAATTGCTAAGTGGGTAAAAGTGCAGTTCAGATGCGTATATCATTTCTGGTCAAATTTTGTATTTTCGCATGTAAAATAATGTGAATTTTTTATTGTATTTTTTAAAGTAAAATTCCATCTTTTTGTTGGAATACAACATTTTAACAAATTTTATGAGATAAAAAAATTACTTTTTTATTGATCTTTTGTCTTTTACCGAGCCATTGTGGTAAATCAAGGATAACTCTTCCGTCTTGAAAGATACTTTATAAAAGTTGCCCAATTGGTTGTATCTTGTTGTATTTATTTTATAACTTTACAATTAAATATAACCGGAGTTATAGGGAACTCTCATACTTAACATATGTAGCCATTTTACAAGCCACATTGCAATTTTTACATTCCATTTCGTTCTTCAAAGGGGAGCCCCTTGCGAGAAATTCCATATTTGTATTAACTTTATTTGTTGCCTCACAAAATGTGCTCGCATAAACCAAAATTTTTTTGAGCATACTAACTTATAGGTGGATAAAAATCTGGCCAGAGGGTTATAAAAACAAATAAAAAAAACAAAAGATGGGGCTATGATATGTAACTTTGATTGGGGGATGTTTAAGAAGCTTTAGAAATCAAAAAAAAAGAAGAAAAAAAAGCACTGTATAATTCAGCATTAGTATTAGTTAACTATAACTGCCTGTATTTAATTAATAAAGAATACACATAAGTTTACATGAAAAAATACGAAATGCGTTAAGAATGAATATACGCGGTGAGCCCAGCCCTAGGCTGGGGTACCGCGCTATATAAGACCACTTATACTTATTATTGCACCTGAACTGCACTTTTACCGCTAAGTAAGTGTTTCCCCTCCTAGGCCTAATCAATTAGTTAGACCATATTTATATAAGTTCAGTGTAATTAAACTAATTATGAGTTATGAACTATAATTTTTATTAGTTGTGGAGAATTTAGGCATAAAAAAATAATTAAGTTAGCCTCTAACTTATAAGTTATAAGCCTGCCTGCCTGAAACTGACGTTTTCAGGCAGGAAACATAAATCTTAATAATCTTATCAGCATATAATAACTATTTGAGTACATCCTCAGGCCAAAAAGTTAAAAAAGGTGAGTAGTGTTTGAGAGAAACAAACCCAGAAAGTTAAGTCCTAAAGAGTGATTCATCTGGCATTTGTGACTGGCCCTGCTGGCCCTGCTACTTCACTCTAATTTGGTCTAATAATCTCACTAATTCTGCTATAAGATATCTTTGGCAAATATAATACGCACTTCTTATGTTGATATTTGGCTTGAACGATTATCATTTATCAATGACGCAGACGGTTACCTAGGAATTACTGAAATTTTTGAAAAAAGATACATTAAAATAATCAAATTGAAAAACTACTTGTACTTCGCCATAATAATACGAGGATTGGTAAGTACCACAATCTCTGTTGTTTTCTCCCCCACAGAGTGACAGGGGTTATTTCCGTTTCCGCTATGCGTTTTATGCCAGATTCTTTTGCAACAGAAAACATCTTTTTAACAAAAAGAGAAAAAAAAAGTTAACAACTATGACAACATTAGAAATAACATTTCCTATATTATTTAGTTCTACTCTATGGCAAATGTTCAAAACGTCTCGAGGCTTTAAAAACTTTGATATGATACAAATGAATACAAATCTAAGGGGAAAATGTATGTCTCAGGGGTGTCTACATGCGGAAAGTGTGTGTGTGTGTGTGGGGGGGGGGGCAGTTGCAATCCTCCAATCTGATTTAAAGTTGGGGAATAAAATCCAACATGTCGAGCTTCGAATTTCTCCAGATAACAAGATTAATATGGGAAATACAAATAAAAATGCTTTTTTTTTTTTTTTTTTTTTTTTTTTTTTTTTTTTTTTTTTTTTTAAATGTTTAGCTGAGGATTGAATCCTAATCCAAAAGTTTTATATACACTTTTTGATACTTGCATCTATCAATCGCTATGTCTTTTTAAGACAAAAGCAAACTGCATAATGTCTAATTAATGTAATATTATCCTAACCCATGCAACATTTCCTGTGTGAGAATTTAGCACATGGCAGGAGAGTTGGCCTATTATACATATTTGACGTACATTCGCTGGTTGTAGGCCTATACTGTTTTATCAATAGCTTGTAAGCACATTGCAGTATGTGTAACCAGAGCGATATACGGTTGCGTGTTATGCTCACCTACACTGGTATCTAATTTCATTTAAGAATTCAGTGAACGGCTGTATGTTCAACCATCAAAATATCATTGTCACAATTCAAATTGACGGAGCTGACATGTGATTAAAACACTGCCAAATATAAGAAATGATGAGAAATCGTCCATTACTAACACTTGCATACTACATACAAAGAAATATATATTATTATATTATATTGATAGAGCGTCTAAAGGGACAGCACTGAACACTGACACCGGCGCGCTCTAGGGATGCGTTTGAAACTTTGAATTAAAAAAAACTCAGAGCGCGCCTTAAGTGCGGACTTTCTAGCTGCTATCATCTTCGCAGGGAGTAGCCAGGTGCTGCTCTATCGTAGCAATGGGCATAGTAGTAGCTGATTTATGATTTTCAACTTGCGGAGCTGATCTACCAGACAACTCAACATCCTCCTCATCTGACATTCAGCACTTGAAATAGAAGCATTGTCGGTGTGAACAATAATTGCCCTACGCTCTCTCTATCTCCTTGCAGCTACTGGCATTAGTCGAATCCTTTTTTGTTGAGTAGCAGGTGCTAATTTCTTATGCTCAAGATGGCATTGTCGGTGCTGTTGAACATGCTTTTTCAAAATGACTTGTGATGCAAAATACATGTTGCAGATTTTACAAATCCATTCAAGCAGCGATGTTTTTATAGTTACTCACTCTACATTCATCTAATTCTCAAAATATCCTAGAGTATTCCTACGCTATCAATATCATTTATCTTGACTGCACATGACACTTGAACCGTGTCCTGTGTCCATACCTGCAACATGACCGCAACGCGAACTATTGCCCTAGTCATTTGCGACAAACAGAATCTACAGTTGAAGAGAGGCAAACTTTGACTTCTCTTGCATTAACTAAATTTGTTAACATTCTGAACAGCCATCTGCAGTGCACAGACAGACGCACATTAAATAAATCTTATATTGTTAAAAGCCTAAAAACTACATGTCTATTTAAACTCATTTACACTTATAATTTTGTTTTAATAATGTAACAACCAGTCAATTTTTAAGATTGAAATTTTAATAGATAAAACATGATTGTTGACGTCAACTAATCTAAACCCCCTCCCTCCCCCTTGTCAACAAACTGTCAAACATTTTCACCCCCCCCCCTATTTTGTTGACGTAATTAACGGACGCCCTCTTATTTTTTTTTTTTAAAGTTCTATTTTTAAACCCACTCAAGCAAAATCTGTCAAATTTTTCATTTGGTCTCACCCCTTGAGAGGATGTCATCTGAAGGGTCCTCACCTCCCGCAAGCCCCTAATTACGATGTTTCTCAAAGATGTTAAGACTGGGCTTAGCTTAAACTGGAATGATAGCCAAAGCGCCTTAGCAGAACTGCTAAGATTTGTTCATCTTAGTGTTACGTTATTATGAAACATAAGGTGAATGTGGCTAATTTAGTTATTTATGTTCTTTTAAAGTCGTGATCAATATTCATTTTTAAACAATGCTTCTCATTATTTCCATCACTCCTGCTTTGTTTTAATAGAATCATTATATTATGTACGGGTTTTAAACGACCCAGGAAGTAGGTGTGTTACTTCAAGAACTCTTCAGGGTTGAAAATTTTGCTGTGCTGGAAGCAAGCGATTTGTCGACACATGCAAAAAATATTCTTAAGTTTGGATTTCCTATTTGTAAATAGGAGCATTTGAAAACACTTATCATGGCATCAGTGTTTTCGAATGTTCAGGCTGAAATAGCGGATGATTTAATTAACAGGTTTCCTCAGGAATTTGATTTCGATGCAATGTTGAGGAAGGTTTGTGAAGATGCTGGCGTCGCGATTGACCCGATTATGGATAAGGCCGAAAATGGGGTCGTTCATTCATCAGAAACTACTGAGAAACCATCAAAATATAGGTTAAAGGTAGTTTTTCAAAATTTATTTTTGATTATATTTTAAAATATTAAATTTTAAAATTGTTTTCAATGGAGAAACTGAGTAACTACTGTTGGGACAAACTGTTTTGGGATATATAACTAACCTTATAATGATTTAAAATACCCCTGCAGGAAATGGACTCAACCATTGTACTGTAAACGCGAAAATAAAATGGCGAAGCTATGTGAACTGTGTCATTAACACTAATTAATGAAACATACACAGACCCTATAGTGCCCATAGCATAGAGAGGCCTATAACTATTAAAATAAAGTGTCCCCCAGATAAGACATTTCTCACTCACCACATTGCTCTGATTAGATGAGACATTTGTTATGTTTAAGTTTAATATTTTAATTTTAACAAGACTACCTTCCAACTCTAGCCCCCCCCCCTCTCCTAGGCATATTCATATTAAATGATATTTTATTTTTAAAATATTTATACTATTGATATTATATTACTTATATTATGTATAATATTATGTAATGTAATTATAACATAAATAATGATATTATATAGTCTAAAAATGTCGGCCTACTTACACTAATTATAATATAACTACTTAGGCTTAGGCCCCAGTAACTAGTCAATATTAAAATATACTTCTATTACTACTACTTAGACTACTTAAACTTTAAGTAATTAATATAGTCATACTTAAGTCTATAGTATAGTCTAGTCTATTCAATATTGTATATCATATGCCATAGGTTATTAGCGTTTGCTAGACCTAGACATGTTTTTTAATATATACAGTATGCATTATTTATAATATATCCATTAGACCTGGGCCTGGGCTATTTGAACTGCATTTGCAATCACTGTCTTAATTCAATCATAAAAACATCTAAGCTAAGATAAGGTGAAAATACAATATACAATGAGTAAAACAAAGTAGGGTTAAACCTGAAAAAAGGAACGCAACAAAACAACGAACAAACAAAAAAATACAAGAAAGACCCTCCCCACAAATAAAAACAATACACTTGAATGGGTATGTCCCTTTCTTTGCCTTGCGCTAAAAATAAATAAATATCATTTGGCATTTGGTTTTACCCATCCTTATAAATATAAGCAAAAATCATACATACTTTTAATATAAACAAATATAAATAGGCGCATCTGTCAAATTTTGATTTCTTTATTCCTTAGAAATATTCTTAATATTCACTCATCACTGGTGTAGGAAAACCATAGCTACACCACTGATAGTAGTGATAGTCAGTCATCTATTCCTTTGGGTACTTAAGAATAAATTTGTATTAAAAAACTTTAAGTTGTTATTTCAATTCGACTCATGCCATAAGTTTGGGTTATGAACTCATTACAAGGATATTATAAGTTGATAATTTATGGATGGCCCATAAGTCCCAAAATAGTATCAAATTATCTCACAGACACTGGTGATCAGTAGTCATACCATCATAACTTCAATATTTATGTTACAGACTACCCTCAAACTTTTAAAATCGTACAATATCATCACAATATTGTTCAATACATTATCTTAATAGATAGTAAAAGAATAAACATGCAGTAAATATATAATGGCTACACCTCAAAATCGTACATTGGACGCCAAAATCGTAAGAGTAAACAGGTCTGAAGTTATAGTAAATTGCATAAGCGGAAAATAAAAATATATGTAATGGTTGCTAGCTATGAAGGAATTTTATTTGCATAAATAAATTTTTATTTTAAAATTTTTAAAATATGTAACAATATTTAAGTTTTATTCTAATTCAAACCTTTGCATCATAAAAATACTTGGTTAAGTTGAGCAATTGTGAAGCATCAGCATTATTACCACACATTTATTTGTACCTTTGTTAGCAATTACAAAGGCACTAATTGTTAATTGAAACAGTTTTATCCATCATTAAAATATGTTTAATTTAACATTGCATGGAATATGTTTTTTTGTAAACATGGTAGCATATTATGTCAGCACTCATGATAAAAGAATATATGTTGTTCATCCGTCAAGATCGACAAGGACCATCTAGTCATCTATTTGAAGTGGGGGGGGGGGGGTGGCACAGTGAGTTCGTAGGTGGCTTGGTAGCAAGAGGTAGGTAATAAAATTCACTCTATATTTTTTTGTGGTAAGCCTAAATGTGTATTATTCTTATTATTTATAAAAGAATATATGTTGTTTATCCGTAAAGATCGACAAGGACCATCTAGGCATCTATTTGAAGTGGGGGGGGGGGTGGCACAGTGAGTTCGTAGGTGGCTTGGTAGCAAGAGGTATGTAATAAAATTCACTCTATATTTTTTTGTGGTAAGCCTAAATGTGTATTATTCTTATTATTCACAGGGCCTATGGCTTGCCATGGAAAAAGCCTATAAACATCTTGTTACAACGCTTGCACTGTACGGCACAAGGATACCTGATGCAATAACAGAGCAAGTCAGTAGCCACGTCGATGGCTCTGGCTACAACCATGAAAGTGCTGGGGAGCCTGAGGGGGTGAATGAAGATGAAAGTGACAAAGACTATCAGCCGCATGTAAGAAACATTCTACAAGACATATTCAGGGATACTAAAAGACAGAGAAGGCCTAGGAAATCCCAGAGACAAAGTCGAAAAGTTATTGGGGAGTGGGCAGGAATCAGTTTTGATGAAGATGATGACTTGGAAGAGTCGGAATCAAAACCTGCGGTAGAGCCTGCAACTGATGACTCCATTGAGAAAGGGAATGAGGATGATGATGATGATGATGACGACGAAGAAGATGGTGATACCACCATAGAAGGGGAGAATGAAATTAATGGGGATGGAAATGATCCAGAATCTAGAGAGGAAGAGGAGGTTAAGCCTCAAAAGCGGGGTCGACCTCGTAAAAATTCATCACCTTTCCACTTAACAAACAAGCAGCAGACGATTAAAAAGAGGGGACCTTATAAAAAACGTCTGGTTGTTGTTCCAATTTCATCAGTGAAACCTGGTGAAGTGCCAGTGGTTCGAAGGAGAGGCCGTCCAAAAATGTACAATGATGAAGGCAAGTCAGACTTTCCATGCTCTGACTGTAGTTTCGTTGCAAAAAAACGAGCCAAACTTCGGAGCCATAGGCTGCGCATGCATCTGGCATCACCCACAAAATGTGATCTTTGCAACAAAGTGTTCCCCAATAAACGTTACATGCTTCGTCATCGGGCATCGCACGTTGCACCACAGCACTGCTGCGATGTATGTGGTAAGATGTACAAAATCAGGAAAGCCATGTTGGAACATAGAAAAACCCATGACACCAATTTCAAAAAGACCAAGGTCAAATGTGAAATGTGCCCGAAATCTTTCTGCAACCGTTACATTCTAGAATGCCATATCCGGGATATTCACATGGGTCAGAAGAAAAGCTATTTGTGTTCAACCTGCGGGAAGAGCTTCACAACTAAGCACTCACTTGCAGAGCACACCAACGCACACACAGGTGTTAAACCCCATGTGTGTGAGCACTGTGGTAAGTCCTTCTCATATGAATCCGCACTGAGAGACCACAGATACACACACGTAGATGCAAAACATTTCTGGTGTCACCACTGTCAGAAGGGCTTCAGCCAACGCTCTGGGCTGAAGATGCACATGCGGATTCACAGGCAGCACAAAATGTTTATCTGCACAGAATGTGGGCGGGGCTTCACACAAAAGCAAGCCCTCCAGCGGCATGAGAGGGTTCACAAGGGGGAGAAGCCGTTTGTTTGTAAACACTGTGGTCGCTTTTTCACCGATGCCTCCATTATTAGAAGGCATCTTATTCTTGTCCACAAGATTCACAAAGATGCCAACCACTGGCGGGAAGACATTGTGTGTACAGTGAAAGCTCAGAATGAATACCAGGTGCAGAAAGTTGGTGAGGAGAACAGTATTTCAGATGTTGAAAAGGAGAAAGATGAACTTCTGAAAGCTGTTGGTACACAACCTCGTTCCAATCTGAAAGGTCCCAGTCGGGCATTCTCTAGGACTTACCCAAGGAGGGTAGCCCTTCTTGATGAGGAGGGCAATGTTATTGCCCCCCCAGAGTTGCCCCCACGTGCTTCCATACAGCGTTCAAAAAGTAGTGAATCTGGATCATCGACAGGTCCATCAAAATCACTGGGAACAAATGCAAATAACACAACATTAATTTTAGCTACAGAAAACAGCTCAGATTTGGACTCTAGCTCTCAGGTATTGGCTCAGAGATATGTGGAGGGCACTCAGTGGGATGCACTGACAGGGCAGCTGGGCAGAGGCACCTCCACTCACATAGAACACATGATATTAGATGATACAGCTCAGCATGAAATCCAGCGTGGTATTGAACATGTTCAGGGATTACACAAGATTATAAAATATGAAAACTTACAACCTGGCATCGTGCAATCAGCAGCTCATAATATTTTGTCTCATTCTCAGTCCAGCCAGAGCCCCAGCTCTAGCCCCATTTCATTTGCATCTCAGCCAACAACCCACGCCAGAGTTCTAGAAACCACATTTGAAACAATAAATCCTCAAGCGGCTCACACGGGAAGTCAGTATTATGATGGACGTACCAGCAGCCACACCGGCGCTCCGTGGTCTTCCGTTTTCTATTACTCTCAACTGGCCAGCCAGTTTGGCATGAGTATTAATCCAGAGTATCCTTATGTTGGGGGCACTGTGACCAGCAGTCCTACAACAACCCACCTGACACAGTACACCACTCATTCCCCATCGACTCACCAGGCCGCTCCTACAATCATCCTCCAGCCACCAACACATCTCTCTCACATTGAGAGCTCTAAGCCTGATGAGCTTCACAGCCTGCCCAATAATTCAGGTCCATCCAGTCTCAACCCGTCCCTTCACCAAAGCTCCCAAGACCTTGTCAGACATGTGACAGGGGGCTTAAAGCTCTCGCCAAATGATTCCCTCCATCCAACAGAGCTGATACTCCAACAGGGGCTGCAGAACAGCCCTACTCCAGATGTCCACCATGTTAACCTCGACCACATGGCCTCAGCCTTAGGTGATGCACAAAGCATAATGGTCCGTCATGTCAGTGATGGTAGGCAGTCCTCTCCTGGCATTCCAACTCGGAACTCTGCTCTCCTAAATTTGAAACACAAATAAGATAAAGATGTTTTCAAGCAATGCAATATGTTCAAATAATGCTTACACGGGGTGTTAAAATTTCCAAAATACACCTGTTGCCTATTGTACATACAGTTAAATTGTTGCCTATTGTACATACAGTTAAATTTTTGCCTATTGTACATACAGTTAAATTGCATCTTTAATATCTTAAAGGAAATCACAGGATTTTATTTTATTATTTTTTTAAATTCTCTTTATCTATGATCAATTGTACTCAATGGCCTGCCTGAGCAATCGTTAAAGATTCCATCTTCGTCCTAAATGTTACAATATTTAATGTGCACTTTTAAAAACAAATCACATCTGGTGTCAGTCTCCTTCCATTTAAAACATATGTTAAAGTTTTGTTGGTTTGTGATAATTGAATTTATTTCTGATGTTATAAACACATAATTTTGAAGGGGCTATTAAAATGATTCATGTTAAATTTGTAAAAGTTTAAGCTATAATTTTGAGAAAATTATAACCAGGCCTTTGCTCCTTTCTAGTCAACCATGCACGCAAATGCTGCTGTATTACTGTAGACAGCTTTTAAAATCCAATCTCATGGAATTATGTAACATTGCGTGTGACATCCTTTCATGGTTACATATTTAATGATTTTCTTATCACCTTAGCACATTCCACCCCATCCATTAATTTCTTTAATTTAGTGTCTTAAGCAGTCAGTGAAGTGTGTTCCTTTTCAAGATTTAAATACTCATCATTACTGTGTGTTGAGATAAGATATGTTTCAGCTCAATATGTTTGTCCTTGATATTTTGTAATTATTACAATAGATGATGAATATGGTTATGTTAAAAAGAGGTAATGGACTTCAAATTACACTATAATCTTTGATTCCAACTACTGACAGCGGAGAAACTTAAAGTTTAGCTAAGCCTATTAGGCCTTGGGTTTATTGCCAAATTTCACCTTTGTTGGGGCATTAGAGTTGAAGAAAGTTGGGCCATTTTCAAAAAATGCTAGTCATAAAATTTTGTAAAAGAGCTTATATGTTACCCTTTGGTGAATGAAAGACAGGGGATAACTGAGCTCATTGAGACATCAGAATTCTTAAAGTAGAAAAAAAAACGAATTGCATTGTGGTAATACTCTTGCTAGCTATAATGTTAAAAATATATATATAGTTATATTTGTTCAAGTTTAGCTTGATAGTTATTATCTCAAACGTTATTAAAATTATTGCACTTAAATTTTTAAAAATTTAAAGTGTTGCAGCCAGTGTACAGGTTTCTTGCAATTGACTTAAAGAAAGGGATATGTTGATATTAACATGAATGTTTAGTGAAAGAGCATACGTCTGGTGGACTATGACTATGTAGGGCTTAGTTAGATATTTATGTCTGGGCAGGATGTCTGTCTATACTACACATATGAATAGCCATAATACCTCTTTGGGATTTGACATTGTGAGATATTTTTGTTCTCTTGAACATGGTGTCAACACTGGTTTATATATATGTATATATAATATATGTGCATCAGATTTCAGGTAGACTGATATAAATAATCAAAATATTTTGTATGTAACACCTGCACAATGTTCACACCTGCATTTATGTGTTGAAATGGCTATGTGTATATGCATTTTGTATAGCAATGGATAAACAGATGTGTAGCTAACTTGGTATGCACAACAAATCCTATACCTTGGCCTACCTCACACATCATCCTCTTTTTAAAACTGTTGTGCTGTCTTCTCTTTTGCTCTTTTGTCTTATTTTATACAGACATCTGCAGTGCAGATTCATTTGAAGCACCTAACCCCACACTCCATTGTTTTAAACAGGACACACAAAAGCATAAAACAAGTAACGACAACATGTTAACGTCTCATGGTTGTCTGTTATACACGTATAATTTTTTTTAAAGAAGTTTTTAAACATTTGTCTCAGATAGATTGTAACTTTCTTAAACTTATACTTTTTAGTCAAGAAAAATTGATGAATCATTTTTAAACTAGAAAATATTAGTAAGTCAATGTCATCTTGAGGAATGAAAGGACATCTATCTTAGTTTGGCCTTCACTGCCTGGTTATTTTGAAATTTATATGTGTTTCAGTTAGTAAAAATATTTGGCTCATATAGTCTGTATTTAAAAACTGCCTGGCACTTTGTTACACCAAAGCTATTTTAATTTTTTTTTTTTATTTTATAATTACAAAGTTTTTTATAAATGTGTAGGAAAGTAAAGGAAGTCAAGATTAATTTCCCCAGCCATGCACCATATACAGCCATTATTGTTGATTTTAAAAGGTTTAGTTTGTGCTCGGTGTTCAGAGATTCTCTGATGTTACTTCTCCACCGGAAAATCCAAATTTAAATGTTATTTTATTTAAATTTGAAAGAAAGAAATAAAAATCCATCCAGTAAAGATGTTTAGAGACAAAAAAATATTGCAAAGATCACAAACTTTAGTTACCCTGTTCATAAGTGCATCCCACAGTGAAGATGTTTAGAGACAAAAAAATATTGCAAAGATCACAAACTTTAGTTACCCTGTTCATAAGTGCATCCCACAGTAAAGATGTTTAGAGACAAAAAAATATTGCAAAGATCACAAACTTTAGTTACCCTGTTCATAAGTGCATCCCACAGTAAAGATGTTTAGAGACAAAAAAATATTGCAAAGATCACAAACTTTAGTTACCCTGTTCATAAGTGCATCCCACAGTAAAGATGTTTAGAGACAAAAAAATATTGCAAAGATCACAAACTTTAGTTACCCTGTTCATAAGTGCATCCCACAGTAAAGATGTTTAGAGACAAAAAAATATTGCAAAGATCACAAACTTTAGTTACCCTGTTCATAAGTGCATCCCACAGTAAAGATGTTTAGAGACAAAAAAATATTGCAAAGATCACAAACTTTAGTTACCCTGTTCATAAGTGCATCCCAAAACATAATTCTATTATCATTTTTTTTTAACAATAATGTTTTTGCAAGATATAATGTATTTTATTATTGAAATGTTGAATTAGGATTTTATTGGCCAGTGTTATTCATTGTTGTGCTATATTAAATGATTGTGATGCTTAGAAAGCTATGAAAGTTTGAAAAAGGCTACGTAGCTACTGTTGATGGGAATAACCAGTGTGGTTCAGGGCTGGGGTGTGTGCAGTGCATCCCGTTAAATAAAAATGTGTGCAAGTCTGCATACACCTGTTGCCTATCCAAGCCCAAATCGTATCTCAGGGTGATCCTCTAACATCGTTTCACTCCCCTGGCTTGGATTGTGGCCCCTGATTGTCCATATTTAATTTTTTAAGTGTGAATTAAGTATTATCGGTCCAGTTGTTTTGAATGAAAATCAAGGACTACAATATGCACTATGAAATATTCAAAGAATGTGCTACATAAGTCCCCTAACTTGAATATGTCTTGTCCACTGATTTTATTATGTTCTTACCAAAGTGACTGTGACTAAATTGTCACCCATCTCAAACTGTATAAATAATAAGGTTGGGGGGGGGGGGTTTTTATATTTTGAAATAACTAAAGCCAAGCCTAAACTGACCTAAAAAATGTTGGAGTTTGTAATATTGCATTCAAACTCTTGTGTCCTAAATGTAAAAACAACATATTGTGCCAGCTGTAAATGTAAACAAAAGCAATAGTTAAATGTATAGGAACATTTTCCGCATAGTGAGAGCTAATTATATGTATATAGATACATATATTAATGCCTTGCCAGTCTATAATTTTTTAGCATGATTTGATTCTGATGCTTTTACACTAACCTGTAAGAATTTAACATTTCTGGCATTAACAAAAGGTCACAGACTCCCAACATATAATTTAACTTAGAAACTTTGCCTTCAAAATTCTTTTAAATAAACGTAAATATTCATACAAAAATTATACAATGGCGATAACTATAATCAATGATTTAAAAAAAATTCCATGTAAGAAGAGAAGTGCTCCATGAAAGTATGTTTATAGAAAACTGGAGTCTTGGTTGTATGCCTGGGTGTGTAAATATATGTTAGCTCCACATCTTTGCTTGGCACCGAGCGAAGAAGATATAAAGTTGATTTTTTCCATAAACTAATGTTTATATAATCATAATGTTATAATATGATGATTAAAAGTTGGTCAAATGATGTCATTTTAATGTCAGTACAGTGGCCTGCTTGACTTCTCTTGTATTGTACCACTGTATGATAATTATGCAAATGTTATAGCAAACTATAAAATCACTATAACAATTTTATTAGTCTTTCATCAAATTCAAGCAATTAAAGAAAACCGGGCCAGGCTTAGGATGCAGTTAAATTTTGTTTTTGAATTAATATTAAGGCCTCTGAAGAAAGGCAAGTCTATCTGGTGTACAAGATTGGCACTGTCTGGTTTCCACATGACAAACTGTGGCTGGCTGTTGGGAGATAAAAGATCACCTATTAGAATCAGCTTCGAAAGACAAATTTACAAAGAAGATGTTTGGCTTAAAAAACAAAAAGCAGATGACACTGATGTTCTTGCAGTGGATAGGTTGTATGTGAGCTAATGGTTGAAAGTTCAACTGTGTTTTATTAGCTAAACTAGAAGCTGCTGAAGCATCTTTAAGAATGTCTGTAAAATCGACATAGACATTTTTTATTGACCCACACGTTTATCTGATGGCCGCACACCCCCTAAATTCAATGTTTGATACACAGGGCTGTAATTTAGATTTTTATGGCTTTTTTATATTTCCTACAGGTCACAAAATTGTTACTATTTCTATATCAGTTCATCAAAGATATCATTTTTTAATTTAATTTATACTGATTTTTATTGTTCTTTGTTATCGATTATTTAAAAAAAATTTTTTTTACATAAATTCTCATTTCATTGTTGGAAAATGTGATTTGTTTTTTTTTATGCATTTTAAACCTTATTTAGAATGCTAAGTATTTATTTGGTAAAATTGTCTGGCTTTTTATGGGGTTTTTTTGTGTTTGGTTTATTCATTTGTAAAAAAATAACAACAGCACTTTGTATTGAGTTTTTTAAATACACAATTTCACATAAAATGGCAGACTCTTGAATGGCCAGTAGATCAGACAAATTTAAACACCTGCATGACATTATGTTACCACCTTCTCTGTTATATTATGTTACCTTATCTGGTAGTCTAAACTTCCTTAGAAGTCTAATGAATTCTGAGTACAGTGCTTAAAAAAATCAAACAACTAAAACATTTTTTATTTGCATTTAAACTTTCAAAGATTGGTTATGGGGCCAATGTAAAAGTTAATTTCTCTTGTAGCACTCGGCTATTTTTTGTGTGCAGTTGTTGGCCTGGTGGTGCAGTGATAAAGTTCTGATCAAAGCAGAAGAATGAATTTGCTATAATTGTATACAAGCATGTGTTGGTTACATACAGACATGGAATTGAGACTCGTTAAGAGACAGAGGGGCAAATAATTTTTGGGGGATTAAGTGAGCTTTTATTTGCTAAATTATTTGTATCTGATGTGATGTGAACTCAAAGCCAAATGGGATGGGGAGACTCTTGGTATTTCTGTATTTTATTTAGGACTGACGCAAGGCCCAACTATTCTAAATCCTTGAGGTGGGGCCATCGCCTTCATGCCGTCTTCATCACCTCATTATGACCATACCTTTTGTGTGTACACCATTGCCTCAGAGTTTAAATATTTGGGGGTGTGTTTGATTGACAGAATGTTGTACCGTTATCAATTATTATTTGAAATATATCATCATTTAATGAATTGTTCTTACAATAATTATGCCACGTGTCATGTACACTCATGGTGCACAAACTGCAATAAAAAATTCAGCAAAATAGCCATCAGGTTTGTAACTTTTGTTGTGATATTTAAATGGCCATCCTTTCACCTTGCCAATGGGGCTCTAGTTCACCCTTTCACCTTGCCAATGGGGCTCTAGTTCACCCTTTCACCTTGCCAATGGGGCTCTAGTTCACCCTTTCACCTTGCCAGTGAGGCTCTAGTTCACCCTTGCACCTTGCCAATGGGGCTCTAGTTCACCCTTTCACCTTGCCAATGGAGCTCTAGTTCACCCTTTCACCTTGCCAATGGAGCTCTAGTTCACCCTTTCACCTTGCCAATGGGGCTCTAGTTCACCCTTGCACCTTGCCAATGGAGCTCTAGTTCACCCTTTCACCTTGCCAATGGGGCTCTAGTTCACCCTTTCACCTTGCCAATGGGGCTCTAGTTCACCCTTTCACCTTGCCAATGGAGCTCTAGTTCACCCTTTCACCTTGCCAATGGAGCTCTAGTTCACCCTTGCACCTTGCCAATGGGGCTCTAGTTCACCCTTTTACCTTGCCAATGGGACTCTAGTTGACAACCATTGTGTACATCCATAGACAATAAATAAAGAAAAAAATAATTTAATTGTAAAATTATCTACAAATAAACTTTCATGTTTATTTTCATTTAAATTTTATTTCAATGATATGATAGGACAACAGATTTATGTATAAGGTGTCCAATAATTAAAATGTCTCCAGCCTCAGATAGCTGAATGACCCGTCACCATCAGTCGCTCAAACTTTATTTGCTAAGGTACTTTTGATTTCTCATCTCATTTATTCTCTAATAGTCATAGACCAGCTGTCATTCCCTACTGCTAAAAAAAAAAAAACTTTAAAATCCATAAGGTCATTATGTGTTCATTTTAGTTTTATTATTTCCATTTCAGTGTATATAAATATAGAAAATGTACGTACTAAATTAAGAAATAATAGAATTGATAAATTATGTGTCATAGTATTTAGTATTTAACCACTCATTTTATCTCTCTTTCTTACAAAACTGCGGGTCATTGTGCATGCGTTATTTCTTTGACATAGGAAACACTAACATTTAAAACAATAATTTCGAGCACCCCCCTTGCTTGCAGTGTGGAATCGGAACATCAGTTTAGTGTGAGGATTTGTGATTAAAAGAACAATGGCACCATTGACTTTGAAGGATTTTGATCACACAGTGAGCCTGCCACGGCACCTTTCACAGATGATGGCAAGTGTCTCCCACAAATCGAGGTCAATGTCCATGGATTTACATGAAGCTTTTAGACAGTCCTTGAAGCGTTTTTTCTACCCATCAACTGAGGGTTTCCCACTGAAGAGTTCACAGAACATTATTCGTTTGGGAACTCTGATGTCTGGCATTCTTGCGACATGCCCTGCCCACCTGGCTTGTCCTTTCTGTTGGAACGTGTGGATGCTGATACAATCGGCCCATTGGAGGAGCTCTGCATCAGGGATTCTGTCCTGCCATCTTATGCCAAGGCATAGGCAGCGTAGGTGAAGATGGTTTAGCTGTCTAGCATGTCTGCTGAGCACTGTCCACGTCTCGTTAGTTTATAGGATTGATGTTATATGCTTGCACCATATTAAACCTTCAGCTTAGTGACAAGACTGAGACCCCTTCGCTCCCATACACTCCTGCGGAGCCTTCCAAATGCAGAATTTGCTTTGGAAGTTTGGTTATTGGTCTCATCTATTCTTGCTGACCTGGAGAGGGTGCTGCTCAAATATGTGAATTGTTCTAATACTTGGAGAGTTTGTCCCTTCACTGATATTTTAGGTTTTTTGTAAGAACTTGGACATATGCTTACCGCGTTCCTCTCATACATTTTTTATAGTGGATTGGTCAACAATTGGTTTGAAATTATTCCTGTCTGGAAATACTGATGGTAGACCTGAGATATATTGATTTTGAAAATATCCTTGCGTTCTAATGCTTTTACAAGAAGAATGATTCTGTATACCCACAAGATTTCAGAGTAGAAAACGAATTATGTTTATTCTGCATGAATACAGCACACAGAGAATGTTTATACAAATAAATACCATTTGTTCATACACACACATATAAAGCCCAGCAGTTCCTGATTATCATGCAGAACGCCAAAGTTTGTTTGCCTAAACCTTAGCACCTTTGAGGAAATATAAAATTACACTTTAATAGAAAATTTGTTTAAAAACACATCAATTTAAGTACAAAAGTGATTTAAGTTCATTAATAACTTTTGAGAGTTTTCATTTCATATTTTTAACATTGCTCTTTCCACTTATGACCAGTCTTGTCTTGTTCATAAACTAAAACATCCAATTACTTATTAAAATATGAAGTAGCTGGATCAATTTAGATTTTAAATGTGTTATTTCTGAGACAGGTCAGCTTGCAGGCACACAACCTTTGACCATTAAGGGTCCATCCTAATAGTTGTCCAACAATGGCCAGATAGAGGGGCAGACCGATCAACTTGCATGTACACAACCTTTGACCATCAAGTTGCCATCCTCGTAATCATACAAAACTGGCCAAATAAAGTAGTCTATCTGCCTGGCCTGGGTCTTGTTGCATGACCACCAGAGTTGATGGTGGGCAGGGTCAAATCTAGTGTCTGTGACATGAAGCTTCATCTGTGGTTTCTGAATGGCCATCTGCCACGTTAGGGCACAACACTGATGGAGATATCTTTGCACTGATGGGTTGGACAAGGTTGAGAAGATAGGGGAAGAACTGTTGCAATAGGTTTTGGCCAGCTGAAAAAATGAGAAAAATTAAAGTAGTAAAAAATATCACATTCATACATTTGTTAAAAATATCTTTGTATTTGATTTTTACTAATTGATATATCTGTGCTTTTACTCTCTCAACCAGGATTCCTCAAACTGGATTCCCCATTACCCTAGTTTTTTATAACATATCACACCAGAGATTCGACACTTACCATTACAAGATAAAGAAATATTTTAATTCTTATTTATCAAAAACTTGATGTACCGGGTATACAAATATTCTCTGAGATTTGAATATTGTTCCAAGGGTTCTCAGTATGGATAAAAAGGTTGTGAAACATTGCTCCAAACTGAGTTTAGACATATATTTTGGAAACTGAGAACCTTAACATGATTACTTTATTTCAGTGGTTCACATCTGTGATTCCTAAACTTTGTGAACTTGTAAGAGCGAGGACGGGTCTAATTGATTCTCAAACGTGTTTGGGAACACCAGTAACTGCTTTTAAGTATTTAGAATTAGAAGGAATTTTTTTTTCTCTGACCTTAAATTTAATCTAATTCTAATATTTTACTGATCTATAAAACATTTCCGATGTCTTTGATCTGTTCACCAACACGCACAGAGCATATATGACAGAGGTTAAATGAAAAAACATGCACTTCTATCTGTTACAGCACCGCTCATCATCTAACTAGAAGTATGAACAACTCATGATGTTTTTTTTTATTCACACCAAGAACAACAGAAAAACCACATGCGAGAGAGAAATCCCCACCTCAGCCACCTGGTCAGTGTTGAATTTATCAGCAGTCGCTCTCAGCCTCTGGCACACAATGTCACCAAACTCATCAGGCAGCTGGCAAGAACGGTGGCTGTCTGGTAACATGGACAACTGAAAGCATCATGAATGGAAATGATAGCTTTACTCTCAGAAATACACATGGAGATGAACTATTTGTATATTGGAAACTGATTTGGGTTCATAATTGCTCTACATGAAATTGCCATGGAAAAAAACTTTTGAGCAATCATATACTGACATAACACAATTTTACATATTTTAAATGTACTCAAGTGGTAAAATTGGGGAGGGGGGGGGGATTGTTATTTGTAAAAACGGAAAGAAATGCTGAAATTGTGTATAACAAACCAACTTACTGCTGAGGAAGGATTTGTTAGGACATAAGCTATAACTCTCTCAACACTCTCCAATGCTGTTTGGCTGGCTTGGAATGAGCTCTGAAAAAAAAAAACATATTTATTGTAGATTGATTTTATATAAATTGTGAAAAACTTTCATCTTGAAAAGGGCAGACAAGTGAAAGACTAATAATGTCAATGTTTAGGATAATATCTTCAATTAATTTATTTTATATAAATAATCCTTGGGGTTCATTGCGGTATTTAGTTTTTTGTTTTTTTTAACTGCCCAGCACATCCAACTGGGAACATTCAACCTACCTGTTTATTACCTCTTGTAATTCGGCTACTGCTAAGAGGAGATTAAAAAAAAAAAATTTGAATCTATCTAAAAAAAAGTACCGGTACTGAAGTGATAAATAACTTACCATTAGAATGTCACATAAAAATTGTGTGATTGTTTCTTCCTCATCTGTAAACTCCTCAAGATTTTCTTTGGCATCCATCCATTCCTGTTCCAAAGGTTATATTATCATTAGACTTGGGGAATAACATGAAGGAAACAATAAGAAGAAAGCAACAACAAATGGCCAAACAGCCAGATGAAATTAAAAGCAAAATAAAACAAATCAACAAATGACCCTAGCCGACACTTATAAACCCCAGATTTACAGATTTCATCTCATAACACATCATTTGTGTTTGAAATTTTAAAAATCTACATGAAATGTTTCAAACAAAGACCACTTTTACATAACATTCCAGAGTTTATAAGCCACTGCATGTTACCTGAGATTCCAGAGTTGTGTATGCCACTGCAATGTTACCTGAGATTCCAAAGTTGTATAAGGCACTGCAATGTTACTTGAGATTCCACAGTTGTATAAGCCACTGCAATGTTACCTGAGATTCCAGAGTTGTGTAAGCCACTGCAGTTACCTGAGATTCCAGAGTTGTATAAGCCACTGCAATGTTACCTGAGATTCCAGAGTTGTGTAAGCCACTGCAGTTACCTGAGATTCCAGAGTTGTGTAAGCCACTGCAATGTTGCTAGGCCGACATCTTTCACTGATATTTTCTGTTAATCTGTTGTCTGTGCGCATCTTGGGCTTGGGACTGCAGATGGGCGGTTTTGTGGGTGTTGTGTGGGTCGGTTGGGACATTCTGAAATTTTATCAAATTAAAAGTTGACATGAGGAATCTTATAAACTATTATAATATAAATGAGCACAGATTTTTTTTTTCATGTATACACGTATATCTCATTATAATTTTCATTATATACTGTGTTTCATATTATTTATTACAATATATGAGAACATTCTTTTAACTATCCATCCAAGTGTTAGACTATAACGCTAATTCAATTTGTCATTTTAATGAAAAATTTAAATAAGTTTTTATTTCCAAATAATTCTTACCCATTACTAAAGAATTTAATGATTATTTTTTTTGATGTAGACTATGCAACAAAACAGCTCAATCTGGACACATCTCTTACTTTTGTTTCATTGCTTCACACTCGGCCTTGACGGACTGCAAGCTGGCCTCCATTTTCTTGGTGTCCTCTCGCGCTTTCATGGCGGATTTCTGCGCTGCCTCTAAGGCTGCCTTTGACCTCTTGCAGTCATCTCTAAGGTTAGAGTTCACCATCTGATGCTCTTTTATTGTCTTTTGGAGCTTGTCAATCTGAGCCTTCAGTGAATCAATTTCGAGCTTTGACCTCTGGAGTTCAGCACTCAATGCCTCTACTTGCCCTGGCTTTGACAAAAAAATATATACTTTTTTAATAATCAAATGCAACACAATTTATACATAAAATTTCTTTACTTGTTTCATTGGTCTAATTCCTACTGATCATTGATCATATTAGAAACATGCAATGTACACAAACAATGTTTCCTGAATGAAATATTTGACACTTCAGTCATAAAAAGCTATTTTGTTTAAAAACAAAAATGTGTTTATTGTTTACTCTATAATGCAATTATGAACTTTTAATACGACAACATAACCAATCAAACAAGGATCCTCTGGGCCAACTGGTTACTGTGTGGCACTATGTTCGACCATTGGTCACTTCAAATAGCATACCCTTCATATCCAACAAAAAAAAAAACACTGGCTTGTCCAAAATTATTATAATCAGCTCGTGAAGCATCATATGTTATTATTTATACTCAATGCTTATTTTTTTAAGATTAAATGCATCTTAACTTTAGCAATGCACATCACGTCACTCACTGTTGGGGGCTGAAACTTTGGTGACTTTGGGGATTTCGGAGAACCTGCTTTCTCATCTGAGGATCTTGTTCTTTGGCGTTTCAGATCATCATTTTCTCTCTTCAGCTCATCCAGCTTGACCCACAGCTGCCCCATGCCCGTCCCTCCCCGAGCCGGTCGAGGGGGTGGGGTGGCGGGGACGGGTTTGATGGGAGTCTCAGCCAACAGACCATCAATCAGTTGCTGAGTTGGATAATAAATGAATGGAAAATATTTAATTGAGACTAAATAACTTGAACCAGAGGACATACAATTGAGAGAAGTGAAACATTGATGATACATAAATATGAAATAATTGACATGAATATTGTCAGAAAATTCAACATGGTACATACTTTAAAGTTTTACATAATAATAATCAAATTTGTAATGCAACACTCTCTGTTTTTACAAGCAGGGTTGTGAGAGACATTTAGGGGGAAGCCCTGTCTGTTACACAACCAGGGCTGGTGGAGTCAGTATTTTTTAAGGGCCACATGGCTAATTTGATCATTTTTGTGGAGTACAATAGTTATTTGAAATATTTGTATCAGAATTTCCTTTTTTTTTTTTTTTTTGGTCTCTAATGAATGCTCATGAATTCCATATGACATGATGATTATGAATTCCATATGACATAATGATCATGAATTCTACATGACATAATTATCATGAATTTCATATGAAAAAATTATCATGAATTTGATGTGGCATATTTATTTTAAATTTTTGTATTAGAATTTTTTTTTTTTTTTTTTTTTTGGTCTCTAATGAATGCTCATGAATTCCATATGACATGATGATTATGAATTCCATATGACATAATGATCATGAATTCTACATGACATAATTATCATGAATTTCATATGACAAAATTATCATGAATTTGATGTGGCATAATGATCATGAATTTGATATGATATAATGATCATGAATTTGATATGACATAATGATCATGAATTCCACATGGCATAATGATCATGAATTCCATATGACATAATGATCATGGATTCTATATGACCATGAATTACATATGAAATAATGATCATGGATTCCACATGATGACCATGAATTCAATATGACATAATGATCATGAATTCTATATGACATGATGATCATGAGTTCCATATGACATAATGACTATGAATTCCACATGACATAATAATCATGAATTTCATATGACATAATGACCACAAATTCGATAGGACATAATGATCATGAAATACATATGACATGTTGATCATGAATTCCATATGACATAATGACCATGAATTCCACATGACATAATAATCATGAATTTCATATGACATAATGACCATGAATTCAATAGGACATAATGATCATGAAATACATATGACATAATGACCATGAATTCCATATGACATAATGATCATGCAGAGCATCCCTAAGATTTTTCAATGCCTTGTAACTTTGAAGCATGCCTAACCTAGACTAGTTTTTAAAGGTAAATACTCCACATACTGCTGACCACACGGCTGAGCCTGCTGACCCCCTCACCTGTGCCTTCTCCAACAGGTTCTTGGACTGTGGGTCGCGCCTCTTCAGTAGAAACACGTTGGTCAAGCTGGCACTGAAGCTCCTGGCCTCAGAGCGGATGTCTTTCTTCATGTCACCGGACATAGTCTGCACCTGGCCTATTATGATGATTTTAATGGGCGACCAGACTTAAAAATAATTGTGTCAGAAACTCTTCTGAAGCCTTCCAACGTATTGAGTGCACTTCATAACGTTAGCCAAATCTCTGCTCATCTCAAGCTAACAGACTATTAATTCTTCAGTCATCCTTTTAATAAGCTCTTGATGTTGAAAAATTCTTGGAATTATTTTCACTGAGCCCTCCCTCAATCAGGGATTTTTGCATTGGCTGAATCTGTTGAGAAGCAAAATTAGCCAATTAGTATTCACGATTGCTGGGAAAATGATAATGATCAACTCAAGCTTGGGCAGCCAAATGATTGATGTGGATACAAACACATTTGGGAGCTAATGTTTTTTTATATTTTTATTTCCACATCAATAATTTGGATGCTTTACCTTAATTCAAGTGTTAAAAAAATTATTTTTATATTTCCAAGCAATGTGTTAATGTTATGTAGATTTTCACGTCAACAAATTATCAGATAAAAAAAACAAACAACAACAACTCAATGTTGGCCTATATTTGAGAAGGAGATCAGCAAGACTTCACAGAAGGAACTCTGCCTATGTAAAAGTTGAATTTAAATAACTTTGCAGTGGTAGAAAAGAAACAGAAAAAATAATATAGTTAAAAAAAAATTTAAATAAAAAGGCACGGTTAAAATCTTGGGGATGGGACTGGGAAAAGGAGGGGGGAGGCACAACTTGTAATTTTTTTTTTTTTAAAATCCTTTACATTAGTGTGTTTTACTAGTGTTGCTTATCTTTCATCCAGTATCCGCCACTGTCAGGTGTTTAAAAAACTTAACTTACAAGTTCCTGAGTACAACTTTCTATCAGCAAAGTGTGTGTTCAACATTGAAACATTAAAGCCGACACAGAGAGATGACGACACAGTGAGATGGCGACACCGTGAGATGACGACACCGAGATATGACGACACCGAGTGTTGACGTCACAGAGATGACGACACAGTGAGATGGCGAGACAGTGAGATGGCAACACAGAGGGATACCGACACAGAGAGATGACGACACTGTGAGATGGCGACACCGTGATATGACGACACCAAGAGATGACGTCACAGAGAGATGACGACACAGACATATGACGACACTGAGAGATGACAACACAGAGAGATTACGGCACACACAGAGACGACGTCACAGAGAGATGACGGCACAGGGAGATGACGGCACAGGGAGATGACGACACCGAGAGATGACGAAACATGGAGATGACGGCACAGAGAGATGACGACACAGAGAGAAGCTTACCTTCAGTGTGTGAAGTATTTAAAGACGACACAGAGAGGGCCCACCTTCTGTGTGTCAAACATTGAATCATTTAATTTTAATGTCGACACAGAGAGATGAGGACACAGAGAGAGAGAGAGAGAGAGAGAGAGAGAGAGAGAGAGAGAGAGAGAGAGATGGATGGCGGCCTACCTTCTGGTAGAGATGCAGTTGTTTCCTGTGTAGCTTACTACACTAGGTTCACACGGGTGCCTCGCAGACCTCACAACACTTTTGTCCAGGATCTCCCTAGCGGTGGAGGGCTGGGCAAGGTTGTCTTACTCATCGTGTCACACGGCATCAGGCGCCTTCCTGGAAGTTGAGGCCATCGTCTGCCAGAATATCGATCTCTTCCCCTCCGGGGGCCCCCCGTACGCCCTGCACCGCGTGTGATTCGGTGAAAGCCTGGCAATGACTGGCTCATCGAGGTCGACGTGAGCGCTCTGTGCAAGTTGGAGCATAACGGGGCATTAAAGCGTGAGTCATCTCAGAAATGGCATGGGGACATTGGAGGGGGGTGAATGGGGACATTGGAGGGGGGTGTGTATGGCGACATTAGAGGGGTGTGTGTATTGGTACATTGGAGGGGGTGTGTATGGGGACATTGGAGGAGGGTGTGTATTGGTACATTGGAGGGGGGTGTGTATGGCGACATTAGAGGGGTGTGTGTATTGGTACATTGGAGGGGGTGTGTATTGGTACATTGGAGGGGGGTGTGTATGGCGACATTGGAGGGGTGTGTGTATTNGCGACATTAGAGGGGTGTGTGTATTGGTACATTGGAGGGGTGTGTATGGGGACATTGGGGGAGGGTGTGTATTGGTACATTGGAGGGGGGGTGTATGGCGACATTAGAGGGGTGTGTGTATTGGTACATTGGAGGGGTGTGTATGGGGACATTGGAGGAGGGTGTGTATTGGTACATTGGAGGGGGGGTGTATGGCGACATTAGAGGGGGGTGTGTATTGGTACATTGGAGAGGGTGTGTATGGGGACATTGGAGAAGGGTGTGTATTGGGACATTGGAGGAAGGTGTGTATGGCGACATTAGAGGGGGGTGTCCTGTGGGAGCTGTTTTATGTACGGCAGGTACCGAGCACACCCTTTGTCTGCCCACGCGGGGCGTGCCCAGTAGTTATGTTTCCAGGCACACGCCGAGGGGGTCGGTGGCCGACGCTTCCTATCACTGTACTTGATCACATGGTCTACTATCACTGCACTTGACCCATGGTCTACTATCACTGTACTTGATCACATGGTCTACTATCACTGCACTTGACCCATGGTCTACTATCACTGTACTTGATCACATGGTCTACTATCACTGCACTTGACCCATGGTCTACTATCACTGTACTTGCTGCACATTGTCTAATAACACTGTACTTGCTGCACATGGCCTTCTATCACTGTACTTGATTTTTTGGGGTCAAATTGCGCTGTCACTGGTATATCCTCATCAATTAATTCGTCAGCAGGTTGAATAAAAATAAGAAGCGGATAAAGAGAGTTGGGTTGGGGGGGGGGGTAGCCAGGGCATTCATCTCTGAGACTAATTCTAGATGAGTATGCGACCAAAACATAGACTGGGTATGAGAGCAAATCTAGACTGGGTATGCGACCAGCAATCTACACTGGTTATGCGACCAAATCTAGACTGGGTATGCGACCAAATCTAGACTTGGTATGGGTATAAGACCCAATCTAGACTGGGTATGGGAATAAGACCAAATCTAGACTGGGTATAAGACAAAATCTACAATGAGTATGAGACCAAAATGTAGACTGGGTATGAGTATAGGACCAAATCTAGACTGGGTATGATTATAAGACCAAATCTAGACTGGGTATGAGTATAAGACCTAATCTATTTTATGGGTATAAGACCAAATCTAGTATGGGTATAAGTATAAGACCAAATCTAGATTTGGTATGGGTATAAGACAAAATCTAGACTGGGTATCAGACCTAATCTAGACTGGGTAAAGGTATAAGACCTTATCTAGACTGGGTATAAGTATAAGACCAAATCTATTTTATGGGTATAAGACCAAATGTAGACTGGGTATCAGACCTAATCTAGACTGGGTAAAGGTATAAGACCTTATCTAGACTGGGTATAAGTATAAGACCAAATCTATTTTATGGGTATAAGACCAAATGTAGACTGGGTATCAGACCTAATCTAGACTGGGTAAAGGTATAAGACCTTATCTAGACTGGGTATAAGTATAAGACCAAATCTATTTTATGGGTATAAGACCAAATCTAGACGGAGTGTGAGACCAAATCTAGACGGAGTGTGAGACCAAATCTAGACGGAGTGTGAGACCAAATCTAGACGGAGTGTGAGACTAAATCTAGACGGAGTGTGAGACCAAATCTAGACGGAGTGTGAGACCAAATCTAGACGGAGTGTGAGACTAAATCCATACTTTGAGGCGGCGTGTGACGCTCAAATAGAAGCCCTGAATGGAGCAATGGTTGAATGTGAACTTGACCGTGAGACGGATGTAGCAAAGCTATTGTTTTATATACTAAAACCGGAGCTGGTCCAAAGTTACAATCTCAGACTATCTGACGTGATGTGACCGATGAAGTGTCCTTGTCTGGTCGGTCAAATGAAAACTTGACACTGGGAATCCCAAGAGTTATGTGATTTTCATCCTGTTACACCTTATCATTTATTTAAAGAAATATTTATATGTATTAGTATATAAATATATATATATATCTATTTACAAAAGGGAGGAAGTCCAGAGGTTAATACTACTGGGTAATGGGCTGGATGGGGGGGGGGAGGACTACAAGCGGTGGGGGCGGTTAATACTACTGGGTAATGGGCTGGATGGGGGGGGGGGAATACTAGTGGTGGGGGCGGGATGGGGGGAATGACTAGTGGTGGGGCGGGATGGGGGTAATGACTAGTGGTGGGGTCGTGATGGGGGTAAAGATCAGTGGTGAAAACTTTGCCAAGGAGACCACCTTTCAATGACAAGAGAAACTGTGTACAGTGCTGAGGAAGTGTAAGAACAAAGGTGTGACTACTATGTCAACATATCTTGTCTCTTTCCCTCTCCTCATTGTAGTTGTTATTTGTTTATTAATATTACGGAGGGTTGGGAGATGTTAGCAGCACGGGGAGTGGGAGATGTTAGTAGCACGGGGAGTGTGAGATGTTAGTAGCACGGGGAGTGGGAGATGTTAGTAGCACGGGGAGTGGGAGATGTTAGTAGCACGGGGAGTGGGAGATGTTAGTAGCATGGGGGGTTGGGAGATGTTAGTAGCATGGGGGGTTGGGAGATGTAAGCAGCACGAGGGTTGGGAGATGTTAGTAGCACGGGGAGTGGGAGATGTAAGTAGCACGGGGAGTGGGAGATCTAAGTAAGTTACAAGTATAATAATAATATAATTTCCAAGGATTTGGCTGGCTGTTTCAAATGTAGGTTTGATAAAGCGTGGGTGTAAAGGGGACAGAAAATTTTCTTTAGCGGATTAAATACTTGGGCATATAAGTGGACGGCGCTCCGGAATTATTATTGCTTGACGTACTCACAACTGAAGTCATTTGTTTGTTGTTTGTTTGTTATTTAAATTTTTTAGAAAGAAAAACTGTAGTAGCACCACCTTCAAATTCAGTCAACTACGTATTTAAAATGTGCATACTTTTTAAAAAAGACAAAACAACAGCACTTCTCTCGCGAGAACAAAAAAGTGTTGGAAGGTTGGATTAGTCGTTTGAGGACCCCTGCTCTTTTGGTTCCCAAAACTTTTGAGGAAAAAAAGTTATTAAAACTTACACCTAAAAAAATAAATCCTGTGGCCCAGGGATGTCATTTGGGTAGGGCATTTGTCCCACCTCCCCCCCCCCGGCCTGAATTTACATGTTTTTATTTAAATTGCTGTGTACTATTGCGCATCCAGTGATAACAACTATACAACATGAATGCCTGAATTTACATGTTTTTATTTAAATTGCTGTGTACTATTGCGCATCCAGTGATAACAACTATACAACATGAACATATATATATAACATTACCCCCATCCAGCACATTACCCAGAAGTATAACAGTGATAACAGCCGACCAAGATTTGGTTTTGCCCCCCCCCCCTTTCCTTGAAAAAAACCCTGAAATGACGCCCTTGGCCCCCCTCATGAAAACAGCTCGCAGCTGTTCCATTTCCCGTCTGCGATGGTAACTTTAAACTACTTAGTTATTTAGAAAAACAAAGAATGAAGAGAATAAATAATGAGAAAAAATCTAGGCTATAGGCCTATATATAAAATAAATTTCTCACTGATTTTCTTTACTATCAATCGTATCACTGTCTCAGTGGCTTTGATCAGATAACCTGTTCAAGATTGGACATTTTGGTTTTCACCAGTACGGGGGTCGTTCGCAAATTGCGTCACGCTCAAGGGGTGGGGGGGCAGAATTTGTAACACTTTATGAGGGGGGAGGGGGGGTCAAAGATTTGTGACGTCAAATTTTTCAAAATGTTTTTTATAATCTAAAATTGTCTAATTTTGAAAAAAAAAACGTTATTCAATTAATTTTAAAAACATTAATTTGGGGTCGAAATTACCTTAGGTATTAGAGGTAACGTGAACCTCAGTCGCGCACATCTTTTGCGCAAAAACTGTTGTGGCCATTTGACATTCGGCTTGTGGAGGACTTCGTTGTTATCGGCACAGTTTTTTAATACTACATCTTAATCCATTTTGGAGAAATGTTAAAGAATAAAATTAAATCTTCTTCTATATTCTTAAGGGCCCACGATCAATTTATTGATCATTTTGACTCCTGTGCATGTAGAGGGGATTTGCAATGCTTCTGTGCCTGGTGTTGATGAGGACATTTCAATGATTACAAGTGCCACTTTGTGAGGGAATCATGCACTGGGGGGTTTGAAGGCTTGAGGCAATAGACGCAAATGTGTCTAGTGTTGTCGCCTCAACTGTTCCTTTTGAAAGCTTGTTCCAGTCCCTGATTGTCTTGGGCAGGAATGAGCAGCTCCTGTACTGGCTTCTTGCTGGTATGAGCCTGAATTGCCTGTCATGACCTCGTCTCTGTCTATGGGGGGGGGGGGGGGGCCGGGTTGTTTTTTAT